ATACACTTTGAAATCACAGAGTCCCTGAGGACAAACACGTTAGTTTTTAATAATGAAAACGTTGTTCGTTATGTTGTTTCACAGAGAAACACCTTTCAGGCCGTTTTGGTGACCAATGGTGCTTTGTCCTTTGCCATGTTTAATTACGGCCAAATCCAATGGACCAGATCGAGCCGAAGGTCTAGTGGAGTTTCTGCCCAGGTATTATGAGTTCATGGTTATTCCTTCTTCGGGGGACCCTCTTTTTTGCAAATGGAATTTTAGGTATTATTGCACCCCCCTCCATTTTAAAAATGATCTCGCCCCACAGTACTCGATTCATATTCCATGCCGATAGGACTTTAGATAGCCTTATTAGCTATTGTGATTTTCTTATCCAACTGCCAACCGAAGTACCGACCTGGCAACCGATGTAATGCTAGGTGGTACATGCAGATAGCTATTCTTGTGGTAGCTTTTAAGGATCATAGTCACGTATACCTATTAGCCGTTCCTGCACAAATTCTTTGCAGTTTGCTGTTCACAGTTTTTTATTCAAATTACGAGGCTAGTAAAAGTTTTTAAAATCTTGTGTTTTTTTCAGTTAAGCGAACAAAGAAACAACAACGCCGAAACAAAACCTTTAACCCCATTCAATGTGCTACATTCCATGAGTAAAACAGTACTTCTCGGAGTTAATTAACCAGCGGGACCTTGCCTAAACTGACTAGTTACCATTGATGAAATACGCAAAACTCAGCTATTTACAAACGTTTTCTGGATTTTACCATTTGGGATGATTGAAATTAATTTACATTCTGAACTCAGGTTGGCTTCGATTCAGGTGTGGTCAACGACTCCTACACCATTAATGCATCTTTTACTGATGCCACCCTTAACATCAGTGGTGAATCCAACATGGGCATGATAGGCAGATGGGTGTTTCGTATTGATCAACCTAAGATTGAGGGTAAGTGACCACGATACAAGGATATTGAATAGATATTAATTATTTTGCTAGAAAACCTTACCCAAATTTCCATTAACTCATTGTATGTTATAATACATCTTCGTACCTCTTCGAAAAAAAGATTGCTTTTTAGGGTAGTCGTTCCTGCTGACATCTCAAAATAATGCTGGTTTATATGTCATTCTCGGTAAAAGAACCTGACGACTTCTGAAGAAAAGAGTTAGGCCCGATATGTATAAATATTTGGTTATTCTTGCAGCTCCAACTGTGAATGCTTCCAGATCGATAAGTGAAATTGCCAGAGAATGTGCTGTCCCAGGTGAGTATCAGCTCTGCTTCGATCAGAAAGCTTGCAGGGTCACGTTGCCTGTTGAATGATTGCCACAGTGTCTGTAGATGTGCCGCTCATTTACCAGCGGGTGGACGTACCCGGATTGGCCCGTTGATCTGACAACCCACAACGGATAATAGGCTTTTAGAAATAAAATACCTTGTTACAAGCTTGCCGGTAATATAATTATTCTTATGTTACACGCAGTAGTGTGACACGTCCATATTAAAGCCAAGCCTTCTACGATTTAAAAAATTAATGCAGCGAAATTCCCTTTTAAGTATTAAAACAAATGCCCAGGTGAAATTTAATGTCTCCTCACGAACCATTTATATAAATTAAAGTGAATTTCTGAATGTGCATCCTTGTATTCCACTTACTTGTATTCCATGCACACTAACTCATTTGTTTCTGTATCATTAGCCAACAACTTTAATAATACTCCACGCCGTTTCTTAATTCTGATAAGTAATTCCATCAGCTTTTGACGTATCATCTGGCTGTAAAAGCCTTACTTAAATTATGGTGATTTGGTGGCAGATTGGATATGTCCATGGACTCTTTATGGAGACAGACGGTATTGAAGTCAGTAAATTGACCAACAGAAGATGCTGGAAATCGTTGTGTGGCTTTGTATTATGAAGAAGCAGCTAAGGAAAGCACAAATGCTAAGTACTTTGATAGTTCATTTTTTCCATTTCAAATTCAGATGGGAGTCTGTGCATTGCTGACGGTAATCCTGAAGGATGCAGCTGCTCAGGTTCCCCTCTTGAGTGTACGTGCTCAGCGGGGTTCTTCGGCTTAAACTGCTCAGGTGAGTGCTCAGAGCTGGTCTTAAAAATCTTTATCTTTCCAATTTTTTTTTCAATAAGACAATAAGACTTTTTAAAACTAGAGCAGAAAAGTCTGGAACGTAGAGACGTTTTTGAATGTAGCTCTAAGACTGTATAAACTCTAAGTGAGTTACCCCATCACAGCGGGAAGTGGATTCTCCTTCTCATCAAATCGTCAATATCCGTGCAGACAGTTATAGTTATTTAAGTTAAAATAACTATGACCAGTTAAAAATAGTTATTTTTCCGTTGCCCTACGTGGACAATGTATTTATTGCAGAGAAAGAACGTGAGCACAAAATATATTTATTGCAAAATGGCGTAAAACTGGAACCAGAATTACTCAACAAACTCACGGCGGCTCATGTTAGAATACGAAGGATATGTCAATATATAAGACAAGCGTGCGAACAGATCAAGGAATGGATTGCGCCCTCAAGCCGTCTAGCTGAAAGTTGGAGATGTGGTATAAACAAATTAACCCACGTAACTTGACTGTACACTGTCTCCAATTCGTCAGCTCTAAAAATAGCCTATGAAGTGTCAAAATCAAATGCTTTCTTTCAGAGATACTGTTCCCGTTCGGCTTTGGAGACGATTTACTTATCAACGATGACGATGACACTAACGGGGAGCTCCCAATTCCAATTGTGTTTCCCTTCTTCGGTCGTAATTTCAGCTCGCTCTATGTAAGTGCCAAGTCGGTTTTCCTGTTGACAGTATAGGAAAGAGCGGTCTTACATGACCGTTGAATTCCACTTTAATGAATTGATTTTTTCTCCACTTTTTAGGTGAATACTAATGGACTGGTCTCGTTCCTCGACGAAAATACTGGCTATACACCAGACAGGTTTCCTCTGGAGGAAGACATTCCTGTGGTAGCAGTCTTCTGGGGCGATGTCGATGTGGAGGAAGAACACACGGGTGGCATCTTGTATCGCACTGCTCTCCGTGACTCCCCGGGGCATGCCACGTTGTTTGCACAAGCGGACGAAATTGTCCGCCAGGTATTCCCTCAGGTGGCGGGGTTTTCAGCCTCGTGGATGCTAGTAGCGACTTGGCACAAAGTGGTCTTTCACGGAGCCGACGACAACGACGATCCTTCAGCAATTGTGAGTGGCACGGCCGAGGAGTATCCAAAGTCGTTTGATTTTCGATCCCCTAATCAAAGATAGCACCATAATGTTTTCAAAGTACAAATTTGAATGTTCCCGCAAACCATTGTTGGAGGATCTCTTATTAAAATCTCGGATTAAATTCAACCGTTCTGTCGCCTGCAGTTGGATTGCAGTAGGCCTAATCTAACACATTTAACCATTAACTAGAAACGTTCTGATATTTTTAAGTGAATAAAGGTCCATCTGATCAATGTGCATGTATGTTGCGAGAATTGAAAATGTGGGAATTGTGGAATTTTACCGAGCACAACACGATTCTGTTTGGTTTCATGTATAATTATAGCAATCTTTACCCTGTCCTGTCTTCATATATCTCTTTTATATCCCCCAGTACAATACATTCCAAGTTATTTTGCTGACCAACGGAGTGCAGTCGTTTGCTATGTTTAATTACGCGAATATAACGTGGACGACCGGTACGTCATCAGACGGCAATGAATCAGGACTTGGAGGCATTCCCGCCCAGGTATATCAATCAAAGCGAAGGCATTACATGCACCCCTTTCATCTGAAAAAATCCTTGTAATGGTAGGAACTTTCGTTCATGTGGGCATTTCTATATAGGAGTTTGTGAGTGTTCTGGACGTCCCGGAGGCAATGTAATTTGCAACTTCTGAAACTAACAATCAGAGCAAGTGTAACTAATGTGACTCAACCTCCTCAGAATACCCATAGCCATTAATAAACGAGGCTCCTAGAGCAAAATGCCAACAATCGGAATGAGGATATCCGAATGTCTGACCACATTATGTAATAAAGGTGCTACGTAAATAACGAGGCTCAGCGTCGTGAAAGAGTTGAAGTGAGCGTTTTTCACTTGAATAAGACTAACTTCAAGGCTATAAATGGGGTTGTGGTAATTTACCGGTACCATTTGTAACTCATCAGGTAGGTTTTTCCTCGTTCGGGTTGCATTTTCTGCTATAAAAACTTCCTTCATGTAAAAGTGTGTGTTGTCCAATAGGATGATGATACTTTACCGTTGGTGAATGCTTAGGTTGGTTTCGACGCCAGCGATGGCGTCAACTACTACGAAGTACCCGGCTCACAGAGTGATGACATTGTCAACATCGACCTGAGGTCCAACATTAACACGACAGGCCGGTGGCTGTTCCGAATTGACCTCGATGAAATACAGGGTATGGTGTTATCGTTATAAAAAATGTCGAAGAGATGTATAGGGAATCCCAGAAAAAATAATCCTAACACAAAGGGTTTATTAACTTTTACCAGTTTTCTTGTAATATATGACCGCAATCATGTGCTTGTCCTAAAGTTGAAACAAAATGCTTTTAGTTGATATGTCAGTGGCTTTTCTTCGGTCACACTTCACGCAGCGTTATTGTTCATTGCCTGGTGGATTGTTTGGTAAAAATGATTAGTCAACATTTATTTGTGTGGAATGTGTGGAAAAGAATGCCTATTAGTTTGTTTGGAGAAGAGCGTCTCAGGTAATGTGATGTGAACAGACTATGCAGTAGGCATTTTTGAGGCAGTAAGCCTTTGCATTGATAAAGGCTATCTGTTGAAACTACATGTAGTTTAACATTTCACTAACGTGGTCCAGCTTACCACTGAGAAAAGAGTGTGATGAAATGGGATCTTATAAAATCTATGTAAATTTCCTATTTTTCCAAAGGTTGCATCCTCCATAATGCCTTAAAATAAATTGTTGAAAATGGGTTATGATCTCCGAAATAGTGGTGCTGGGTGAAGCTTCAGTGGTAGAAATCCAACAATGTATCATTTCCAAGCACCCTGTTCCTTATTTATGGTAAATACATAGTTATATTCAAACGGCACACAACTTGGCTAAAAAAACCCGTTTGTTTCAGGAATTTTTTTTGGACACCTTGTATAACGACTGAGGTTTGTGAATCGATAGAGCTCCAGGCATAGAGCCGTATTTGTGTAGTTTAATTCTATAAAGAAGAGTTTCGAGCCGCAAGTTAGGGATTGTGTACCTTTGGAAGACCTGAGAAAAAGGGTTGTATTATTTTTTTATTATTGACACCTATAAAACATCGGCGTTGTTTGTAGAATGAAGTGAATTTTCTGTATTTTCCACTGTCTCCAGCTTCACAAAGTTGAAAGAATTCCTCGTTATCGACTAATACCTATATTAAATCTGGATCCAAGTGGGAAGACAGCTGTTAATCCCAAATGAGTAAGTCTCGTATTTCAAAAAGGAAAAGTCATCCCACAACAAAGTTGGCATGCCAGTCTTGTTATGGCCGCGCTGACAGGGCGGACCTCGAGCGTATATTTCTGTTCCCATTTGACGCGTCAATATTTTGGGGGCATTCGCCGTTACCGAACTGGCTCGATAATGGTAAAATCACATTAAGTCAGTGAGTTTTATTATTTTATGTTCTAAATAGGACCAGTGGTAATCAGATGTCCATCCACTGATGCCGTCAATGTGAGCAGCGGGAGTAGTCTTGGCAATTTGACCTGGACTCCTCCCCGTCCGTCGGCCGTAAAAATAGCCGATGGTACCACAGTGCCGGTGTTATGTTCGATTCCGAACCCAAATGGCGGTGATGACATCATAGTGACGACAGACCACCCTTTTCCTGCCGGTTCAACCAGGGTCACCTGTAACGCAGAAGCTGCAACCTGTAGATTCGATGTGACTGTCTTTGGTAAATAAAATTAGGTGCAAATGTATGAGAAGGTAGTAAATGATCACTTCATACCAGTTTTTATTGAACGAGAGTTTTTATTTATTATTTTTAAATCGCAATGAAGGTGTCCGTCAACTAGTTTAACCTTTTGGAAGACAATTTATATTTCATTTCTTTATCCACCTCGAACCAGCTCAGGGCTCACTGAGTGACGTATTTTCCTTGACTTTCTTTCAAGTGATGTGACTTTTTTTCAGATAACGAAGCACCGATATTTCGGAGCTGCCAGTCCCCTGACATTATCTATGTGACAGCGGGGACCAATGGGAGTCGAGTCGTCTTGGACTCTGACGTAGTGTCTGCTGTTGATGTCGTCGACGGCCCAGTTGCTGTCAGTTGCTCACTTGTAGACGGAGACTTGATGAGGGTCCCAGTCACATCCAATGATACTTTTCCTCTTGGGGTGACGACAGTAGAATGTGAAGCCGTTGATGCTGTTGGCAATAATGCTACTCCATGCCGGTTCAATGTAACCGTGATTGGTAAGAGAATTTTTTCATTTGGTGCCTTCCTTCGTAAAGCAGCTTTCATTATAGTTGCTAGTTTTTGTTTTTTCCATTGACGAGTTCAAATACCTATCGGCTTTGTTTTTCATCGTTTCAGGGTCTTTTTCCATGCTATTTTCAATAGAAGAGTATTGCATTAAAAGAATGGCCGGGGGCATTATGTTGAATTGACCAATTACACGTATCCCAATCGTGGTTCGTTTGTGTTGTATAAAAAAAACTCGATCAACCTCCGTAATCGTTGATAAAGTTGGCTGTCATTTGCCAGTGATAGTATTTTGTCATTAATTCTGTCTCTGATGCTGTTCTGAACTTCCTATCTAAATTCCGTCCACGGTTATAACCGAACGCAGACTCACCGATGCCAACCCATGAGTCATTAGCAACCGAAGTAACAACAGCCTTTGTAAGCAAAGGTAAGAGCTGTTTGGTACATTCGGGCAGCATTGTTATCAACGCATATCTACATCGGTTGTATTTTTTTATTTTACTTTTGCAATTTCAGTTCACTGTACCCGGGTCACTAGTCTTTCCCTGTAACATGAATGCTTGATTTTTTTTTACCCTTTTTATAGAAGAAACAACAAATAGTCAACTAGCTACAGAGGACCACGTACCCACAACTGACGCCCCTGGGGTCCCGTCAACTGAAGACCGCGCACCTGCAGCTGAGGCTACTGAGTTTTCGTCAACCGAAGACCACGCATCCACAACTGAGGCCACTGAGTCCCCTTCATCTGAAGACCACGCATCTCCAACTGAGACCACTCAGTCCCCGTCAAATGACGACCACTCACCCACAACTGAGGCCAATGAATCTCTGTCAAGTGACAACCCGACACCTCCTACTGAGGCACCGAAGTCCCCTTCAACTGACGACCTCACACCAGCTCCTGGGGCCACTCAGCCACCGTCAACTGACAATCACACACCCTCATCTGGCATTACAAAGTCTTTATCAACGGAAAGACAAGTACCAGAACCTGTAACAAACATCACGTCTCCAACGAAGGGAATTACTATAGCACCCACAGTCGTGGTCACACACACAACGCACTCACCCACTAAAGGTAAAGCATCATATTTTAAATTACCCACAAATTTGTTGGTTGTAGAAAATATGCCCATGGCATTTCTTTGAGTTGACGTAAATATTTATTTTACAGAAGATTTTGTTTTCCACCTTCCAAATAAGAAGACACTTTTACGTATGACACCCCAAGGTGAAGAAACAACATGTAAAATGGTGCACAAAATAAACCAATGAAATTTGGATTGAAAAGAGTGACTAAAAGTTCGAAAAGAAAATTCCCTTGTTTACAGTTAACAATTAATTGCTTGGGTTTTCGATGATAATGCCTTAAAATGTTCAAAATGTTATTAAGAGACAAATTACGAGATGTTCGTTTTGCTTCCAGTTTGTCTGTTGTCAGAATCGAGTTGCCTTCAAGGAGCATTTGATGAAGCTCATTGCGAATGTGTATGTCCGATAACAATTTCTGGACAGACATGTCAGGGTAGGATACATTTATTTCCTTTGTGAGTCGAATGCATTAGGTTATGAAATAGGGATGTTAGTGACATCTAGGTAGTTATTGTGTATTATCAACATTGATCTGTGGTCTTGTTTTGTCATGCACCGTATTCCATTTTGCATTAATGCTAATGCATTAAAAGAACATTTTTGCTTTCTGCAGTTCCTAATCCATGTTTAGATTCCACCCTTTGCTCTGGAGAAGGTCATTACTGTGTTGGAAATATCAACATCAGCGTTGGTTATGAATGTGTTTGCAATGCACTGTCCGGATATCTCACCCTAGGAGACGGCTCTTGTACAGGTGAGCATTCAGACCCCTAAGAAACAATAATCTGAAAGTTACGTTCATGCTTTTGTAAGCCTTTTGGCAGTGCCGTATTTGAGTGCATCACAAGTCCTTTCACGAGGCCCTTGACAAGTCCAGTCACAAGAAGCTCGTTATAAGTAACATGGTGAACAATGACAACGGAATGTTTTTGTCACAGCTCACTTGAATGGTTTGAAAATTGCCTTATAGGGACTTGCAGGGGCTTATGATAGGGCCTATACTCGAATACAACAGTAGCTTTTGGCCACTGGTCAGACATCTTCTATAATTATGAGATGCATTTCATTGTTTGTAGACAAGATTCGATAGCACGTGTGAACCAAACTGATTTATGAATAGTGACATCGCATATTCTCTAAAAAATACACCCATCCAATGAGAATCGGCGACAGAATGGCGAAACATGTAACGCACGCGACATTCATAACGATAAATTGACCCGGCCCTGATTGGGAATGAACCGTTTCCTGATTGGGAATGAACCGTTTCCATACGTATGTTGTGCACAAACATGTCTATGCAAAGGGGTCGACACCTCTGAAGACAAACCTACTTAGGTAAACTTACATCATTGACTTTGAAAATCATTCAGGTCGCGTGGCACGCGTGTTTAGACTGCGAATCTTAGGTATCAATGGAGACGCCGTTAACTTCTCGCCCGTGTTCAGCAATCCCGGTTCATCTGCCACTAAAGATGTTCTTCGTACCTGTCAGCAAGTAGTGAGTGTTGTTGTTGTTTTTTGCAAGTCAGCGGCTTCAATCCATCTCGTGTCTACACAACTACACCTCAACCTGGGTTTTTTGTTTCAGGACCTATTCTTTGGTTAGACGCTACACAGTAATCTCACCCAGAAACATCCGGACGATTTTGAAGTTCAACCGTCTCGAGAGAACAGTTTTTTTAAATTTTATAATCAAGGTAGCGCAATCGCTTTGATTGTCAACTGTGCAACAAAGAAAGTACGTATGACGTTATGGCCGTTTCATACTTCAGGCAAATGTGAAAGCGAAGTGAATTTGACGTTACGAAGCATTTCCAGCGAAACTCGGTGGAATTAAAAATGAGTTAAACATTTGAAAATACGCAAATTATTCGATCTAGCCGTATACAGTTGTGTCTGTGTTCGTTTTTGCACTGAGCACAAACCGGTCTTCAGGTTGATACTTAGAGTAAGGAAACCACGCCCTTTCTGAGAATATCAGTAGTGTTTTAGCTTATATTATAATGTTTTATCCCGTATTTTATCCAATATGTCCACCTAGGTGATCTTTGTACTGAAACAAGATGCACGGACCTCGGCCGTTCTTGATGTTGTTGGTATCATTGTGGTAAGCGGGGGGAGCCTGATTGTGGAATTTGTGGCTTTATTCGATGGTACGAATGACGCACCGGCGATACCAGCTGTGTATACCATACAAAGCATTCTGCAGTCTTCCAGCAGACTTGAGGACAACTCAGATTACCTGGCAGTGGACACGCTGTATGTCACCACAACACGTAAGTCCAAATCATTTTGTAATTGGGTTGTTTGTAGTGGGGTGGGTGCTTATGGCTGAGATATGGGGAGTGCGATTTACACCCTTAAAACGTTCAGGTAGAAAGGAATCAGTCCTGAAGTGAGACCCTTTACCTAACTGGTCCAGTTGCAACGTTAATGTGAATATATGTGTACTTATAAAGACCTTCCCTCAGTTTTTTTTTAGTATATTTAAGGAGTTCCACTTGCTGTGTTTGACATTGCTGTAGAATCGATATCGACCTGCCCTTCCGACTACTGTGCAAATGGTGGAACGTGTGATGTCGTCGGACTCTACCCGCTGTTCAGTCTAACGTGCAGGTGGGTATGGCTCAATGACACTGACATATATTAGCAGCTGTCAAGTGCCGAGGGATTGGTCAATACACTGGGAGCGCGTGTGAAGAAAATGAGATTTCTTTGCTGTTTTGAGAAAATGCACTGTGATTAAACCTTTCTTATAGTAACTAAATAATTATTTGCGCAACATAAAATATGTATAGTGGGAGGTTTAAAATAATTTTTCTTTGGACTGACATAATCAAAATAATGACCTGGTAAAATCTGAAAAGTGTCGGCCTGTGGAAAAATGGAATTGTATACCCCTTAATACGACCTGAGAAAGGAATTTGTTTCTGACCAAATAACAAAAGAACAATTATAGGTATTTCAGAACAGTAGATTCCTTGGGCATGCATTTTACAAAGTCACCAGGCTGGTAGAGTTTTCTTTTTCTGTCAAACGTTGTGAATGGTTATACCACGCGCAGATGCGGTACGTCCTTCACTGGTGAACACTGTGAGACCGTTATCCCAATCAGCGGAGGCATACCAACTGATCCCCCAATGGCTGCAGTGACTGCTACGCCCAGTCAAGGTGTGATATCATTCTTTTGATTATCTTCAAACGTTTATACCCACCAGAAAAGAATTGTGCAGAGCAGCCTCGTGCTGAAAACATTCTTCAAATTTACCCACTGATGACCCAGTAGAAGGTTTGCATGCTGGGAGATTGCAGGCCAGTGCTCTTGTTTCATAGGATATGCATAGTGGAGGTTTCCCCGTGGAACAAAAAAGTGTTATGCAAGATCGCTTCCATTAAAGGCCTCAGTACCTCGCACGGTAAACGGAAGGTCGTTTATAGAAAATTTGTAGGTATGACATCTTTCATAAAAAAGGTAGAAACCGCTTTTGCGAAAGGCTCGGGAACAGGTAGTATCTTTGTTAGTATTTGACCTTACTTTCTCTCATGTACATATTCTACCCGATCGGATTACTCACCGCTATTAATAAATTAGGCTTTTACTGGAAACTGCCTCCATACCAAGCGTGCCGGTAATACATTGCACAACGCAGCAGCAGCATTATATTGATAGTGTGCTTATAAGGAGGTTCTTCGAATCCCAGCGGGGACTTTGTTTCCTTTTCCCCCTTAGTTTGGTTCGAAAGATTCGAAAGGTTATGAAATTTCCTCCGAGATTTACGGCTGTTATGTTGTTTTACTTAACGCCCATTTAAACTCGTTTTAGATGTTTACCCTGATGCCTTTATAAGGCTGGCACATGCATTACATAATATGATGATTAAATTTCACGGTTTGAATATCAGCAGCTGTCAGATCAGGTGATAATTCAGCTAGCTTCGCATCAATCTCAGTTTTGTAGTGAATGGGCTCCTGTTAAAATTCATCGAACTGCAATCATTAGGATCGTGCACAACTTGCGCAAATAGTCCATAAAAATGTCTTGTCTAGAAAATTTACAATGGCTACTGAACATTATGTTCCAGATGGCTTATCATGGCCACTCTACTTGGTCATCGCTGTTTGGCTTTTACTTCTTGTTCTTGCGATGTGCGTGTTGACGTTTATCTGCATCATTCTGAGGAGGAGGCGCTATGCCCCAGCCAAGTCGGGCTATGGCATTCCCGCTCGTTGGGAATTTGATCGTCGGGCTAGGGAAGACAATGTGTCTGTCTTCTCTCCCGCACCACAACCTTACCAGGTAGGCACAAGCTTGCATTGCAAAAGTTGGTTTCCGAGGGAAAAAATGAAGCAACTGAAAGGGGTCACCAAAGAATATTCCTTTACAAAGCAATGACTGGAAGAGCCTGCTTGGCTTTGACTTTGGCGTTTTTCAATCATGTGGTTTATACCTTCATATTTAAGAAGCTTGTTGCCGTGTGGCTAGAGTAGAATTATTATAGGCCTTTATTGTGCTACCTGACAAGCGCTATTATTCCCCATGGTAGGCAAAACTATGGCTATTCACGAAAACTATGGCTCTTCATGAGTACAAATCCAAAACAAAAACAATTGTAAGAAACTTCTCACGCAATTATTAAACACGAACTGGTTTCTATTAAATACGAAATGAACATGACTTCTACTTAGATCTCATCGGAACAGTTCTTGAGACCCTATGTCGCATTAGGCAACGAAGAGATGATGTATCATGAATACGAAGAGGTAAGGGACAAACAGATTATTCCAGAGGTAAATACCGCTTCACGTATTTGACAGCTCGTTGACGTCTGCGAATTTCACCTCCGTTGATAAACCAGTTCTCTTTTTTTCAGGGACAAGTGGAACATTTCAAAGGTCGGCTCGTGCGGAACCCCGCCTTTTCTGGCCACTACTAGATCGATCGCTCTGCCTTCCTGTTGGTGTGCCGTTGTTTTAATGATGATGTTTCTCTAATTGCAAACAACACTTCATGGTTATCTGTGGCTTGCTTCATATTTCAGATGTTAGGTTAGCAATATTGTGTATGAATGTATTAAACTGTTTGGGGACTTGGAGTGTATGTAAACATATAGTATACTTTCATAATAATCCGTAATGAGGATCTTTGTAGCGCGTTCTAACAATAATTATTTTGACAATAATTAGTATTTCCCGTTAAGCCCCAGACATCAGGGAAAGTATTATATGGTGCATAAATTTAGATATCTATTCAATGAATGTGGTTTGTAGTGTGGTGTGCAGTTACATAAATTATGTTAAAGAGGTAGTGGTAAAGATAGCAATTTCATGAAGGTGTTGTGTACTTTCCAAAAGAATTTGTAATAGGTCTATAGTAGACAGTATTAGTCACTAGATTATTTTCGAACTAATTTGGTATGTAGGTCTACCTGATTATCATAATATGTATGCTAACGCTGTTTTGATAGTTTCATTTTTCATTTAATATTTTCATTTAAATCGAAATAGACTGTTGTGAAAATTCATGTTTATTCAGCAGTGGATACCTCGGGTTGATGCATTAAGAGGTGTTAAGGGGAATTCACATTCATCAGGGTCGGTGACAACTCCGCCTTTTTGCTCTTTTGCTGAGTGAGCCTTGCCTACACGGCTGGGGCAAAGCTCCCCTAAATCTCGGCAAATTTCCCGAATATATCGGGACTTATGCAACAGCAGTGCCACTGTCATTGTTGCCCAGGGTAAGTCCATGAACTCTTCAGTGTGTTTGCACCAAGTATTATTGGGCACAATACTGGCGATTCACAATAGTGCGCCACCAAAAGTTTGCGACGCGTTGGCCAATCATAACGCGCGAAATTTGTCGACCCTTTCCAAACCCGCATTGGGTCGACAAATTTAGCGCGGTATGATCGGCCAACGCAAATCCAGAATAAAGAAAAGAGAATACGGGATTTAGGGAGTACTGTTATGTAACAATGAGTAGGCCTACTCCCAAAAAGTACATGCAGGGATTCTTTAGGGGTTAATTCTTTTAGAAGAAGAAAAGAAGCAACTTTGTAAACTCTGGCAGTATGTAAAAACTCTTAACGGTACATGCATCAATATTCAATAGCAATGCAGGGAACAGCAAACAAGTGTTCCAAGAAATATAGCAAGTATTATTATAAACTGAAAGTGTCTGTTGTGCACTTTTTATCGGTGTCAGAAGCTTTTTTGAAATTCGTATCCCTGAATGTAGGATGTTATTTTCACACAGTGACGCTGGTATTACAAGGATTTTTTTTCATTTTACGTATCCACACGTGTGAAAACTTCCATGGCACTGAGTTTACGCATAATCCCAACGAAGGATAAAAAAGTTCTCGTATTGTGGGTCAAAATACTATGTGGATTACTTTGTGCGCAATGTACTCGTAATGGTTTTCATGGAAATGCCTATACGTGTAGATACAATTCAGGAAAAAATCCGTTACTATAGCTTGTTTAAAACATGACGTCGTGTTACAGGATCCCCCTTTCCACCTAACACTTGATAGGCCTACCAGGCACGATTTTTGGCAGAGGGTTAGCCGTTCAGCACGTCTTTACACCAGCGGAGTAAATATGTGGTGGCGACTAGGGGAGAGGGATGAGTCCGAGAGGCGTTGTTCAGTTTTCAAAGGCTGTGCGGCCATTTTTACTGCTGGAATTATGTGGGTTTTGACGAATGCCTTCTGAGTTTGTGTTTATTCTTGCCCCAATGAATCCATATATAATACGGCTGCGAAGGCAATTACATGTGCCAGGCCCTTAAGGCGGGATTTTAGAAGATTGAAGAAAATATGTACTTCTTGAACTTTTTTCTTGCAATTTATGAACTATTATCTTCATTTTTGTCTCCAAATGCATAACCTTTCGCATCCTGGTAACAACGAAATAGAAATGACTTTCACGATAAGGTATGACAGAGGTATGTAAACATTCGAAGTGTGAACATGAGCAAACATGTCAAAGGCAAGGTGCGAGCAGAATGGGGCGGACATGACTGGCCTGCAGACACAGTAGGGAAGACATAATAGGCCTGCGGACAAAATAGGGCGGACATAATAAGCCTTCAGACATAATGGGCCTGCAGACACAATGGGGCGGACATAATGGGCCTGCGGACACAATGGGGCAGACATAATGGGCCTGCAGACACAATGGGGCAGACATAATGGGCCTGAATGTCAAGTGCCATCAACGCAGAAACAAGAGCACGACCTTGAAAGAACAACTGTTCGCCCAATTTTCTTCGTTTCTTCCCTTCCAAGCCACTTTTTAATAAAATATTACAACGTAGGGGTGTCTTCCTGGTCGTTTTCAGAGTGTGATGGGGAGGTTACCTGTATGGGTGCACTTTAACTCGGGGTGAACATACAAAGACCTCTTGTGTTGCAACCATAGAGCTATATTGAATTACTAGTGCGCTAACTTCTCATTCTTAGCGTGGAGAATGTTTGGCGCCGACCTGGACGTAGGCATGTTGAGTCCATGTGCATTTTAGAATACAGACGCAGATATGTAAATAGCCGTAAAAAAGTCGTACAAATTCTGGGGTTTTCTTATAGAGCTATATATAAAAACGAGAGCGCTGACTCGTGTACAAAGTGATGCCTGCTGGGCGCAGCCATGTTTGTGCACAAACCTATGGAAAAACTCATATAAACAGGGATGTCCTGAGTACAATACAACGACGAATTTTATGCATAATTGTTACTTTCAGAAAAATGGAAGACAAGCAAAGAATTTGGTATAAGGTTTTTTTTGTACTAGGCCTGTGTATAAAGTTATCTTTCAATCACAATCTTAACATTTAAAATGCAGGTCATATATACCGTTAATGGTTCAGTTTAGACAAGTCAATACGTTAAATAAGTCACTATGTTACGCCTGTAGATTACTTCTTTCTCAGAATAAACTTAATTCCTATGGTCCTGCGGTATTCCTGTGCGTCTGATAACAGTTACTTTTAAATTCATTTGGAAAAAAACGGTAAAGACCTTGTCACAAACTCGGGTCCCCCTACCCTCTGATACACAATGTGTTTACGGCTTATTATCAAGTACGCTGGGACATATCACAATTTGAGTCAGAATATGCTTTAAAAAATGAGTTATTTACAAAATCTACAAACAATAGGGGGCCTATACCGGTACAAGTCAGTGAATGGGGAGTGGTTTCAATACCTTGAACGATTTACACACATCCCAGAAGTAAGATTATACAGTGGTTTTTGTTACCGCGAAACCCAGGATTAAAACAGTTTCAGTCAAATAGTTTCTTGACTCTCCGGTGTATTGATGACTCTTCGGGGGCAGCCGGTAAGTTGCTCTTGAAGTAGGAAACCAGTAGAATAGCGTACAGGTAGGCGTCTTCTCCTTAGGGTCTCAAGATCCTCCTCAGGTAAAAACCACACACCAGGATCCGCTAGGGCTTTGCTTGAGCAAACAGTCGGCGGATCCTGGTGTGTGGTTTTTGACTCCACAATAAGGAGCCCTGATAATATTGAACAATCGTATCCATATTCTCGTAATCTGCAGCTTATCGAATTGGATGTGGATGTGTGTGTGGATGAATAGGAACGATCACATTACTGTTGAAATCTTCGACATACTAGTTGGTCGCTGAACTTCCTTTCATCACAAACATTATAAAAATCACCCTTCCATTATAACCGTTACAATTATTATGAATGTTGCTTAAGTGACAGTAAAAGAAATTTAAAGGAAACTTATATTTACTGACCACTAAAGACTTCAAATACTGGCTTAAACTGCGGGCTAAACTGCCCTTTCCTCACAGGATCGACGAATTACATCAAATTTGTTGGCAACACTGCCTCAATATGGCTAACGCCCACAACTTGATTTGCCAATCTCAACCAATAGATATTCTCAGCAAATTTCACTGAGCTTTGGGATGTACCACTCAATTCTGTGCTATCGCACCACAGGCCCGTCTGCCCCTCCCCAAGGCAAATCACGCCCCAGCATTTAATTAAAGCAACTAATACTAATCAATGCCGGTAGTTAGCCGGTACTATAAGCTTTGCATAAAAAGACATATAAGGACATTGGCTTTACCTTGACAACATGCAGTTGGAGACTCTACATTTGGCTTAAAATATCACTGACTTGTGACGGACCTATAATATTGTAGAGTACTTTTATTGAAATTTACCCGAGAAAAGACTCATTAAAAAAATGAGATTTCTTGGTTTAGACCTACGTCACTATAAAATAAAATTATTGATTCAAAATCATGCCCACCTTTCATGCATTTTATATCAGGTTTTCGTTCATATTCACATTTAACGTTTATAAATTTATTACCAACCTTTGAAATGCTCCATTAGTGCCCTTAGAAAAGCGACTGGTTCAAGATTCGAACACTTTTTTCGAGAAGTTGGGTGGCTACAAACACTTTTTTTACGCCAAGATGGCAAGAATTTTCCAAGCCATGAGTGACTGCTAAATCTTACACGTTTAATATAAACCAAGAAGTTTAGTTTGTTTTGAAGCAATACAGCTATCCAGGGGCGGATCCAGGAATTTTTCAAGTGAGGTGGTCAAGCTGGAGATTATTTTAATGTTTCATTTTTGCAGACAAGCGGAAATGATGATGAAACATTACATGACATACATTGTTTACAGTGGTACTTTACTTTAGTTTTTACACGTAGCCCACAAAGAATTTGCTCGGTGCTGTCTTTTTTTAAATTCTATTTTAGTTATTTTTTTTGCGTTTTCCTTTTTTTTACCTTTTTTGTTTTGTTTTGTTTCAGAGTGGTGTGTGGATGTGTGTGTGGGGGAGGGGGTCGACCCCTCCCCCGAATCCCCAACTGCTATTACATGTACTCCAAAATTTCTGTCGTCTTCATTGTTCCGACGTGGAGGAGATTTCGAGAAATACCATTCCCATCCGTCTGTACTGAACTCCCAATGCGGCAAACTCTCGCGGTCGGAGGTTGTTCCATTTATTGCACTCACGTCTCAGCAAAGGGGCAACTCTCCATTCACTTTGTACAGGGACTTGCATGTTTTCCTCCTGTTTTGCTGCAGCATGATTTTCGGTACAGTGTTGGAGATATTCATAACGCATAAATAGTGAAATTTCAGACACATTTGATCTGAAGGTTAAGAGTCTGGTCAATAATTCAAATTTTCACCGTAGACTGCGACACTATTTTGGGGTTGACCAATCAGAGAGAGGAATCAAGAATCAGTGACGTCATCCCAGCCACAAGATCTATTTTGTCATCCCAAGCCAATTTTTTTTTCATGAACTGCCTGCTTTGTCCAAACGCAGAAGGGATCTTTTATCAAAGAAAAAAATATAAGTTTCTTGATCGTTTTGTTTCAGCTATAGAAAACGCTTATTTTGTAACGTATGCAAAGTGATCGACCCAAGGCTTGTAAGTCTTCACTCTGGCTGGAACGCGACGCACTGGGGACTACTTTTTGTGTAAATAAAAACTTTTAAGGTCAAAGGTTACACAGGCAAAATGGCGACCTACAGAGCGAGGTTAGTCTACCTTTGCCGTTATGTATTTCTTTGCTGTGTCTTTCAAAAAGAGCGTATCCTACCGAATTTGTCACGTTGGTAACAAAAACTATTGTTTACATTTTCCTTCTACAGGGTCTCTGAGTTCAAGGAGCTTTTGAGTAAGCCAAAAATTGACTTCAAAATGTTGCATCAAATGTGTTCAAATGGTAAGGAAATGCGTTTACTTAACTGAAGCTGTGTACACGTATTGCGGACAAGGCAGGGCGTTGCGTGGTTTGCATTGTGCATATGTGCTCTGTGCTGATGGGGCACTGTCTGACGTATGATGGATGCATAGTTTTTTGTCCTCCCAAATGTAACGTGCGTGACCATATCATAGCAACCAGGTCCCTAATTTTGCCACCTTTTTATTAATTAGTATTGTCTAGACTCATTGGTTTTTATAGTAAGCTGGTAAGTGGTAAACATGGTGAAATAGGGGCCCTGGCGACTATACTATCACACAAGTTGTACATGTCAAAATTTTACTCTTCTTGTGAATAGCAATTAACATGCAAGTAGGCCTTATGTATTGTTTGATATGTTTGACATGTTTGAGTTTGTTTGCAGTCACACTCAGAAAGACTTCCCTGACTTCTTTGTGTATCTCTAGGTGCTAGTTATCCTTGACATGTGATTCTCATTGATGTTTTGGCAAGTTTTAGGACTCTATGAGTTTGATTTACCATGTTTAAGTTGATTTTTGTACTATTGACACTGTTTGCACCAGTTCAGAGTTACCTCTGGTCCGCCTTTTCTTTACCATGTGATGCACATAAAATGTAGTGTTACTACTGTTTTTCTTTTATTTGTACAATATGCGAAGGGAATTTTAACTCTGGAATAGAGAATGTTCATTTTTTCAATGACTGTGGATATTTGACCACCCTTCAGGAACTATTTTGCATTTCTGCAAAGCACATAGCATGCAACAGCACAGCGTAAAGAAAATGTGCCCCTTGCCATTTGGAAGCAACTGGGGTGTGAATTTGCCCTGGAGTGGTCAAATTTGGGATTTTACCAGCATAGCACTGAGCATGCACTGTAAGTGCTTTTGCAGATCTCAGTTCTGTATCTCAAGGAATTTTAGTCTGGCTCCATGCTGCATTTTGTAATCATGACTTCAATTTCAGAAGAGGGGATTCTGTCGAAGAGCAATTTTGACTCCAGTGTTCCATAACAAAACCCACTGAACCAAAACTCAGAAAAAGGAAATGAAAAAATACGCTGCAAGTTGATGTAGGATTTGATTTCAAACGGTAAAAGATATCATTGTGACATATTAGAGGAAAGGAAACCAAAAAATCAAGAGGGGAAATATCGGTGTAGCAGGAACCCAAACGGGGATGATACCAGCCAGTGTCTGTGTTTAAAACCACAAGTCGAGGCAGTCATTCATTGTGGAAGGGATTTGGCATATGATATGTTGTTTGCCTACTTGCTAACATCCCCTTGAGGACACTGTACATGGTAATGGCAAAATATGCATATCATAAGAACGGTGACCATAACAGAAAGGAAAAACTGAGCTTCGAAACACACATACTGGTTTCAGTAAGTTCCTCTATAATTCCGGCTCCATGGTTCCTTGTACACGAACTTTGTACCCAGAAGTGAGTATATTATAATAAATAGTTGCTGTCCGTATTCCTTGTGGTGTGCAACTGTACAGTTCTACGCTGGTCTGTTTACTGAAGTACTTGGGCCAAGCGGAAGCAAAGTTCATCAGGCAGACCGTGTAGCTTCTGTGAATATTGTGGTATTGGACAGCGTTGTAGTCGAGACCATCACAAGACCAGACACAAGTAACAGGGTTAACAATGACAAACGAATGGTTTTGTTGCAGTTCATTTGATTAGTTTGTGACTTGAATTCAGACTGGAGGTCTTGTGCTGGTCTTGTGTGGTCTTGTGAAAGTCTTAAGTGGTCTCGACTACTACACCAGTATTGGAGCTTATTAGGCTGTGTCTGGATTACTCGGCTATGGCTGGCAATGATGCACAAGCTTTTGAGAAGCGGCTGCAGCTTTCTAGACAGTGGCTTCCCTAGGTGCTGTGTTATTTCTAGTCACAGCCATGTCCAAATCGGCTGGCTGTGGCTAGGAGTAACACACATTTGTTACTCCTAGCTGCCGTCTTAGGGGCAGTCCTGATGGTATATGGAGAACGTCACAAGGCAGACATTTGGAAAGCATAGAAATGATAGATTTGTTATAAGCAAGAACTTATTACCAGCCACTGTATAAAATGTCCAGTGTGTTTCCTGATACTGGTTTTCTGTTAATGTTTGCTTGTCGTGTTTGCTTAAGCAGTGTTATGAGCTCAGCAGCTCTGTCCTGGAGAATGATTTTGCCAGAAGTTTGAAACCTTGTTTATATTGAAACAAACCGCTTCCTTCTGACATGAAACGTTGTTTCCTTTGCTTTGTTTCTTAAGGCATTCCTGACTGTCCTGGGCTAAGGTGTGATTGTTGGAGGGTAAGTTACCTGAGGATTTGAGGATTTAAATTGCTGCCAGGAATCTGATGTTAAATAAGTCTTGTAATGTAATCCATCAATCACCTGATAAATCCTGACGTGTGTCTCTTTTGGTACAGTGGAACGTCGCTATGCCAAACACCGCTATACCGAACAGTAGGCTGTACCGAACATCGCCCTTGGCTCCCAATATTTTGTGCACAAAACCTACCGAACATTATGTAGTTGCAAATCAACCGAGATTTGCCACAGCATGCATCAGAGATCGATCCTGAGCGGTAGCTTCCTGACATAGGATAAACTAAATAGCAATTTTGTACCTCAAGACTTAACAAAAAACAAAAATAATTAACAGATACATTTCTAGAAACCTCAAATGTGAATGCAATGGCAAAACATCACGCAAACAGCAAATCGTAGTATCACAAGAGGATGCACTTCATTAAGACAAGAGAGGGCGCTATTCCACATGGCAATGAAATGTTGGGCAGTTAATTTCGCTCTACCGAACGACCGCTGTATGGAACATTTAGCGTGGACCTCGTCATGTTCGTTATAGTGGCGTTCCACTGTTCTTTTAATTGTGTGACCGTGCGAATGGAAGGATGGGATGTCAGTCCATTTACCTGTAGAATGGAACTTGGAGATGCAGCCGTAATGTGTTTGTATTACGCTATCAATGATTTGATAGTTAGATGATGGGGATTCAGTCAGGCATTGTATGAAGTGTATTAGCTCTAAGGATGCCGTTGAGTATGGTTGAATGCTGCCACAAACTGATGGGGTGTGCAATATGTAGCACTCAGGCTGGTGTTTGTTACCTTGTGCATCAGTTGTACCACAAATTGCATTAACCATTAACCCTAACCGCCCAAGGGTTGCTGAACCTAACCTTCCCCAATCACACAATCTTCAACACCTTGGAAAAACACTCTTACCTCACAATACCTAATCCCACAGACTTCAACAGTACTCCTGTTGCAAGAGTACTCAATCCCACAAACTCCATCAGGTCTTTACCTTTGTGATTCTGATTGATTGGGTACAGCAGACCTATTGCACAGTACAAAGAGTAGGGACAGGCAGTACCTATTCAAACAAAGTCACACACCATCATGCTGCATATCCATCCCCAACTGCTGGGATAAAGTGAGAGGACCACAGTACCCATTCAGTCAAAATTCAACAGGGTAAGTGCAGGCCCACAGTACCCATTTACACAAAATTAAACACCAGATAGTAAGCTACCAGTACCCAATGCCACAAACTCACACACTTTACTGGTGTTGAATTCTGTGTGGTTAGGGAGGGTTAGGGTTATTAAAATCGAATCTTCTTGAAGCAAGGTTCTCATTTCAGCTGTGTCATGTTATCTTTAGGCAGCAGGGTGTATTGAGAAAAATCTGTAGAGGTTGAAAGGAGTTGAGGAAAAAGAGTGCCCTCTTTGTTGGTGTCACATGTAGGGATTAAAATCGACCACTTTGTTGCTTTGCAGTTGCTTTTGAATTACTTGCCTGCCAACACGGAGGAGTGGCCCAAGGTTTACCAGTCACAAAGGTACTATGGGTCACCACAACGGGTAAAGTTGATCCCACAGTGGTCTGTAAAACTTGAATATCTGTCAGCATTGAAGTAATTTTTTTTAAAAAAGGTGAAAGACTGGGTTGATTATTCTGTCCAAATATCCATCTTTTACCTCAAAGCCCGACCCTGCAAAAAGTGTGTCAGTTTTTTTGGCGGGGGGTGTACATAAGCTCCTTGAGATTTTGTGTCTTTTAATGAACCACATTTCCAATTATTAGGCACATTTCTTCCATTAAATTTTCTTAAGAATCATCCCGCCCCAAATTAATTTCAATTTTTCCCTGATTCCTAGAAGCTAAAAAGTGAAATTACTTTTTAAGCCCCCAGTTTGTAAGCCCTGAACATGCTCATATTTTCATTGCCGAGTTAAACAACATTGAAAAATTTGGACAGCTTTTGGGTTTAGTTGCTTGACGGTGTTTTTGTTTTGGACAGGGAATTGTATAAGCAGTTCCTACAGGAGATGATCATACAGCCTGGCAGAAAACACGAAGGAGGCAGCAGAACTGACGTCACATTTGAAGATCACGTGAGAAAATCTCTTATTGCAAAACAAAAACATCCAATAACCAGAGTTCCTTGCTTACAGCTAAATTTTCGAATGTGACTGAGAGCAACCCTTGTAAAAATATAAATTGTCCACAACTTTTCAGAAAATCTTCATTCGGTTATAGATTTTTCTCTGAATATCACCCTCTTCAAATTGAGACATATTGTAGCCTGAACTACCTTGCCTTGTATGCTCAGTGGCTACATTTTTGATGTGGCTCGACTGTGCCCATATTGCTTAACATGAAGGTTGTTGCCCCTTCAAGTCCCAGGAGCGTTCCATGAATTACTGCACGGAGCTGATTTTTGGCAGATGTGAACATTTTCTTCTCATAAGCCAGCTGTGGTTTTTGGATACATGAAAAAACTTCCTCCTCCAGAGACTTTCACAAAAGACTACATCCTGCCTGTTGATAGTTCTGAGTGCAAACTCTCAACTTTACCCTATATTTTGTGTGGTTCACAGCCGCTCAATCCAAACCCCAACAGCCAGTGGTCGCAGTTCTTCAAAGACAACGAGATCCTTCTCCAAATTGACAAAGACACAAGGTAAGGCCAAGACCCCAGCAAAAGGAAGCATAGGAAATTTTTTTATTTTTTCCAACAAAACTCTGACAGGCTTTTCGCAACTGAAGCAGGACATTTCTCAAAAGTCCTATATTTTGGAATGGCACCCTGAGACAACTTGTGGAAATTTGTGAGCAGTGAGCTGTTTTTTTAGTATGTCCCTGTGCTTTCTTTCATTGTACACCGACTGACAGTCTATAAGCAGGATGGGAGTCAGGTGATCACAGTGGAAATACACAATACCACAAGTGTCACCATAATCTGATTTCGAGATACTGTGCACGCCAAACTTTCTCCAAAAAATTCAGCTTAAAAGAGTGCTTACAGTGCAGGTAAACAAGCATCTACACTGTTTTCCAAAGCACATGAGTTTTCTGAAGTACCTGAAAAACGAGGAATGTTCGCATTACGTAATCGCAATCATGTGTGTTCTCCTCCTTTGGTTGTTGTGCGTGGGCCCTGTATACTTTGTGCACGGCATCCATTGCATTGCTTGTTTCGTTTGTCAGGCGATTGCAGCCGGACATCGGGTTCTTCCAGCAAGCCACCGAGTACCCTTGCGAGGAGTTGGTGAACGAGTCAAGCAACATTGAGACGCTGAGGAAGCGAGTGGAACACACACTGCTCAACTCGGAGGACATCGCCAGAAACAAGCTGGGAATTAGCGTAAGTGAGCTGCGGCTGATTCACGTGGCTGCAGCTGAAAAGTACGCACTCGTCTATGAGATACGGCTGCAGCCGCTTGCCAGCGGATTCCATATAAACACATGCATTAACTAAGCTGTAGCTTAGTAACTCAAACTCGGCCTGAGACTCACATCAGAAGTCAGGTGTGAGGTCCATCGAGAGCCCTTGGTTGACTGTTGGCTGAGTTGTGGCTTGTCTTGTGCCTGTGTAGTTGTTCCTCAGAACCAAAGTCACTGAACCAAAGTCAGTCCATCATAAGCCGTTTGCAAGTCCCTTTGCAAGTCTAGTCACAAGACCTGTCACAGGTAGGCGGGTGAACAGTTGCAAAGGAATACTTAGGCCACTGTTCATTGGAATAGCTTTTGACTTGGTTTAAGACTGGATGGCTTGCAACGGACTTGCGGGGACTTAGACTCAATTGCAACACTATCCAAAGTCAAACCATCAAAGAAATTTCACAAATTTCTTGCTGTTTCTTGGGTTATAAATATCATAAATGACATCTTAAAGTATGACAAACGTAAATTTACAAAATGGGAGTATTTTTGATGTTTGCCCAGCCGGTAAAATCATGAAAAAACATGCGATTATTATTATAATTTTTGGCTAAAACTTTGTAGGCCACAGCACCAAAGAAGAAACCTCAGACATACGATTTTGGCCATGAGACGCTCCCCGAGGGACAGGAGGCCCATTGGGAGGTTGTGGAGAGGATCCTCTTCACCTATGCCAAGCTCAACCCTGGACAGAGCTACGTCCAGGGCATGAATGAGATTGTGGGTCCCGTCTACTACGTCTTTGCCTCCGACTCCAAGCAGGAGAACAGGGGTGGGTGTAATGGCCTGGGCCAGATTTACAATGTATCCATACTTACTTGTAAAATTAGTTTCATGGGAATGGGTGCCTCCAAAATGAAAATTAAATCAAATATTGGTAACCAATGGAGCGACAATGCTTTGGTCCCAAATGGTCGACTAGATGGTCCAAATCATTTATCATTGGGAGGTTGGTAGTCGAACTATAGTAAACTATAGCCGTCACTTGAATTTGTCCCTGGGTGACACTTATGGCGCAACTCTGTCAATACATTGTTCTGGTCCTAACCTTCTTCTGCATTGTTGTCGAATTTATTCAATTCTGAAGTTTTTTCTTGCTTTGTTTGATCTCTTCGGTCCAGAGCATGCTGAGGCCGACACCTTCTTCTGCTTCACCAACCTCATGTCACAAATCCGCGACAACTTCATCAAGTCCCTGGACCACTCGCCAGATGGCATCAATGCCAAGATGGAGCGGCTGATGACCATGCTGGGCCAGTGCGACCCGCAGGTGTACCGGGTCTTTGAGAGAGAAGGGCTCAAGCCTGAGTTCTTTGGCTTCCGCTGGCTGACGCTGCTGCTGTCGCAGGAGTTCCCTCTGCCAGGTCAGTTTTTGCATCTCATCTTCAAACTGGTTACTTTTTCACAGATTCATCATTTCAAGTCGCCACGTGTATAGGAGTTGTGCACGATTCGACGAGGACGCTTTGGAAACCTGACAGTGAAGTAGGCTGGCCTCCTGTCCCTCAATCATATCCTAGACTGTGCAAAGGAGAGGCCGAGACTATACACGAATGTAGTGACCACAGTTTAGTAATGCCATAAATGGTAATTTGTAGTGGCCCCTGCCAATGGTGGTCACTGTCCCTGACAGTTACTGTTTTTTTATGAAGTATATCAAAACACTGGTTATATCTCAATTTTCACTGAGCTCTTTTAAAGAGGAATTTCTGAAACTTTTCAGTTTTGCAAAAAATGGAATGTGCAAATAATGATTTACAGAAACTAGCAGTTCATTCTGCTTGATGTTGAACAGATGTCATCAGATTATGGGACTCCCTTTTCGCCGATGACAGGAGGCCCGAGTTTTTGATCTGTGTGTGCTGTGCCATGATTGTGTAAGTACTGCAGACTTTATTTCTACTCCAAACTCCTCCGGGGCTCTGAAAAATCCACAGGAAAGTTGGGGGGGGGGAATCTTACAGAATTGTGGAATGAACGCAGAGCTGAACTGATCCCCCTCCTTGAGATTTGAGGGCACAGAACAAGGCATTTTTTCTTGCGAAATCAAGCATTTTGGAAGAATCTGGTGAGACTCCCTTAAAAAAGAGGTGATTGTACAGTCTACAGTCTCGTAAGTTGAGTCTTTTCCTCTGCAAGCCATTGTCTCTAACTTCTAAGGGCTAAACAATGCTCATGAGGCCTGCATCGCAGCCTGCTTGTTCTTGTTCGGTCCATGCTTGTATGATTTCCTCACTTTTTTCCCGACCATCCACTAAAGTCCTGAACGGTTGAGGAGTGACACTCTTTGTCTATGCTGTTTGAATTTTCCAACCCATGAAAACTGTTGAGGATTTTTGTACTTTTTGATGTCGTCCAGCAACCTCCAAATCTCTGGTGCCTTTTTCAGAAGGCTAAATCTTCTGATTTTCATCCCAAATAATGTTTCTAGAAAAATCAGTGTGCAGGAACCTTAACCATTTTTGAATTTTTCACTTATTAAAGCGAATGCACGAGGTAGAAATTATCAAAGCAGTTTTTACTTTTTAACATTTTGCTTAATCTTGCAGGTCTAAATGGCATGCCCCTGGTCGATGTTAATAAAAAAGTTGGCAAACAAAAAAAACCCAGTCAACTCTTGACTTTTCTTGTTTATGTTTTTCTTTCCTAGATTACAGAGGGATGAAATTTTGAATGGAGACTTTGCCGTAATTGTCAAGCTCCTTCAGGTAACACATTGTTTAGGATTATTCATGTCAACAAAGATGTGACTGTTAGGCCCAAATTATACACAAAGTTGGAAGTGGACTTTGCCAAGTTGCAGAAACCCTAAATGTCACCATGCCACAAACGTGTTCGGCGCAAGGGTTAACGAAACTGTTCAATTGGCATTCCTCTTTCATCTTTCCCATTTTAATTCCAGAACTATCCGACTATCGACATCAATGTGTTACTCAGGAAAGCTGAGGAGTTACGGAAATACCTCTAGCAGAGCGTCCACTATCATTCCTGCTTCATCGTGTGTCACAGTACTTCAAGGATACTTTTATCCCTGGCACCATTATGTTGTCATGTTGTCTCTACACAGTGCCTCATCATTGTAATCATTGTAATGCAAGGAAGTTGTTCATAAGGAAATGGGCATTGGGTTCACCCCATGGGGGACAACTTTGTCTTCTTTCCAGGTGTGGGCGATGTGCACGCAGTGCCCCTCATGCGGTAGAAATGTGACCGCTGATGTCATGCCAAGGCATTCAGTCCTGCTCGGTATAATATTATACTGGGTTGTATTTGAGTGTCCGATACTCACAACTTGTGTATTTGCCAAGCGTGTACCAGGCAGAGTGTACGGGTGTGGTAACGTGTTGTTCGTGAGTGGCGAAGCTGAGATGAGAATGTCTTTACTAGAGATCTTGACAAACTTGTGGAGGTGAGAAATCCGGGCCTTCAGTTCTGATTACAGGGTGTTGGCAGTCTTCCCAAAGGAAGTTAACTTGAGAATTGTCACACAACCCCCCCGCCCGCCATAAAAGACAAATGGCTAAAATGCAAACCATTTCTGCTGGACAGCCTCTGAGGATGTTCAGTTTCGTGCATGACAAACTTTGTGAGCACATTGATTCTGAATATTCCGTTTGCAGAAGGAAAGTTTTGGTGGATACTACAGAAACCAGTTCTTGCAATATGTTGGCTGACATTCTTGCCAAGTTGGGACTGTCGGGTTTTTTCTTTACAGTTTAGACTCAATTTTCATTGAGAGAATAGAGTCAACTTTCATTTAACAGCAGTTAGTATAAAGAATGTTCAAAAGGCCCCCATGTGATCAGAAATGTAAAACTGATTAAGATAGGAAGCAATTAAAAAGATCATAACCATGTACTCGCCACTTATCCTTGTAGAACTGCCTTTGAGAACAATATAATTCATTCATAAAATTTAGTTATTCAGATATGTTGCTATTTTTGCCATGGATGAACGAAATTGTTTTTGAATATGTGTGAATCATGTAAAACAGTTCCGTGTACAGTAATTTCACCGATTTGAAATATTTGTGAAACTTTTCAATTACGTTAGTTTTTCATTTTCAGGCTTCATGTGCATGCTTATATATATGTTCCTGCTCCTAAGCAATGAAAAACAGCGTCAGGTTGTCGTAACTTTGCTTTAGCTGTGATGGTTTTTTGGTGTTGCAATATTTTTGTGTTGACAAGCATTCACGCATTACCTTCGTCACACGCCCTTTTGCCAGGTAAATTTGAATCGTATTTGCATATGTAGGCTTTTTGTAGAGACACGAAACTACTTGAGGACGTGGTTGTTGATGTCCTCTGCATTCGATATCTCTCACTGAGGGCGTCACCGGGATTTTCTCTAAAGGGAGGGGCGAAGCACTCATCAGCGGTTAACTGGCAATCTATAGGTTTTAAATTGGTGATTTTCATCTCATTTTTCTCGCAATTATTGTCTTTTTCCCCTTTCCATTTTTCGTATTTTTGCGGGGGGAGTGCCCCCACCTTGCCCCTCCCCCCCATCACAAAGCCCATGTCTCCAACAATTTGCTGTTTGCCATCATGGATGTTAGGCCAAGTTTGAAATGGGATTGTCATTCATGTACAACAGAGCATATGAATTTGACTCAGATTCAGAATACCAGCTATCATATTTAACTTTGCAAATGAAATGTACATCATACCCTATCATCCCAATACCTGGAACTTTTATTCAAACTTGTACAGTTTAATATCGTTGAAATTGCCAAATTGATTGTAAATTGACAAAACTGCTTATAAGTAATATGTGCAGGACAAATGGACAAATGGATGCTTGTTCCTCTGTGTATACTGTAAATTTCTATACTTCAACATATTCAATATATTTCTACACAACTTTGTAGGTACTACATTAGCTGTTTACATTGGTAATAATTTCCCAAATGAGAGTTGAGAAGATACCAAGTATCAATGCATTGTACTTTCCCTGTGACTAGTACTTTGCTGATTTTATTTAACATGTTAATAAAGCCACATTTTCTGCCATGAAATTTGGCCCAACTGGTAAATATGGACCGGTTTTAAGACTGCACATTTGTGAAGTGTAAGGATTTTGCTTCTTGCAGAAAAAAAAAGGTCTTCCCGTTTTTTCATATCATGCCCAAACAATAGCATAGCCCCAGTTGTTGTGATAAGCCCAACTGTAGTTTTGACAGTGCTGTAGTTTGGGGTAACATTCATGCACATCACGGCATAAGTATAGCAGTCAGCCCACCAAGATGGAAGCCACAAGTTGGGTGATGTCACCTGCAAACCCCCTGTTGCAGCGTTCATTTTTACTGTCCCTCTTATGAAAATTCTGACGACTTTGGTAGCACTTCCTTCCACAGTATCCCATACCTCTGCTTTGAAAATTTACATACATAGTGTGTGCTGTAAGTTGCCCTTTGAAAACTGTTGAAACTCATTTGGAGATGAAACCCAAAGTTTTGCTATACAGTTGGCCAACTGTTCAACCAGAAATGAAGACAGCTGAAGACAAGATTTAAAGAGACTTTACAAAAGATGTAAAACATCATTTTTTTCTGTTTAATAAATCATGCAAGATGTATTTTATTCATTGCATCATTCGCTGTGCTCACTTAAACCAAATAGCAGATTGTTTACATTTTTAACCAAAAAAATTCTTTTAAAGTTAAAAAGAATAAATGAGATCAAGATAAAAAAGCTTTAATCTTACAGATCCAACGTACATGCAGGTTTTTGTGTGTGATTCGTGGCATACTTCTGTTTTTGTACATGTAGAGTAATATTACTGTGAAAATTTTTACATAATAAAGTTAACCTCAAGCCATTCTCAAACCTTGGTGTTGTTTGAGTGGTGGGTTTGCCTCCATTCTCAGCTTTGTCAGACTTTTTTGAGAGAACAGACTTTTTTAAGCATCTTAATTTGGAATTTCCAACTCAATATGAGCTGTTGCTTTGCCACTGGAACAGACAATGAATTATCTGAACACAGTCGGGAGTGTTCTCGGTCCACACATTACGAATAATTTCAGGACCACAGAGGAAGGTGCCTCCGCATCCTCTAGAGATTCAAGCCGTATTTTTAGAAAGGGACACTGAATTTCACATGTGATGGCACCAAAGAAATGTGGGAATAGGACAGTTGACATAATACTGAATATACTTCTTAATCTGTAATTTAACAATAAAGGAAGCTCATTTCATGGAACAACCCTCGCCAAAAAGGTACTGATAAAGTTCAAGTTGACTTTGTTGTAGTCCAGTGAACGGGCCAAAAATCTTGCTTATCAATTTTTTTCTTTTACCAGCTTATTGGAGGGTTAGTGTCCACAGCACATGATGGCTGATAAAAGATAATGTTCCCTTCCCGATCTAGGCCGGAAGCTTCTAACCAAGGGATATTTTAATGAAGTTTGATCACTTTCAAAAATGGCCCTTTCTGACAAACTCGCGGCCGAAGTACCTTCGGGAGTTGTTATTTCTGATGGGATAATTCACCCCAAACAAGACCATAACCCTCCAAATACTCAATACAGTACAAAAATGGCAAATCAAGCTTTGATTTAAAATATGTCTTGAAATATTGGAGAACAAGTACTTTTCCTGATTCAAGGATTTTGTAATATTCTGTAGGGTTATTCTCTTCGCCCTTGGGATTATGTGTTTTAAAGTGGGTCTGTCAAAATGTTTGCGATTTTTCAATTTAGGGTTTTAGTCATGCTATGGGAGAACAACTTGATAGTGATTTAGTTCATTTTTGGTAACGAGTCCGCAGGGGCAGCAACTATTTTGGTGTTTAGGTCTTAGGCTTTTTATTAGGGTTGACGCTATATTTAAACTTTTTTTTTAATGTCTTTACTGTATGTAATCTTTTTTAAACTTATTTTGTTCTATCCATTTAAATTTGACCTGCCAAATAAATGAAATGAAATTCTTGAAGAGAGCTTTCCACAAGTACCGGTTCTAGTATTACCGTCTGCTTACGTTACGTACGCGCTCTTAGCTAGCTAGCTTGTCTGATTAAGTGTACCCTCTGGGGAAAGAATGGCACTTAAGTTAAAGGTTGCGGCGCATGAGCAGAATCACTCGCTGGAAGGCGGGTCTGGCTTGTGGTAGGTTGCGCGTACTTCCCGTACAGAAAAAGGCAAATTTGTCCTCTTGTGGGCAAACTAGGGTATAATACACTGAAAGTACGTGTATGGAATTAATCACAGAGTTTATCTACTAGCCATTATATGATAAAATTAAAAAATGATCTTGTAAAAGAGCTTTCATTTGGTGACAACGGATCATGTGACCGTAATTGACCAATGAAAACAACGCGGTTTGAGGGCTGATGTAACGCCATCAGAAACTGTCCACAAGAACGAAGAAATTCACTCGTTTTTCAACCACAGTAAAGGTGCTTTCCCTAACGTTTTTCCGCATGTGCTTAAAGTAAGCGCTAGATTTTACTACAATTGTGCTGAATTGTACATATTTGCTCTATTTCTAACAGAAAAAGGAGAAAAACCATCCAAATTCTTTGTCGTAAACGGCAAGGAATGTACCACGTGACACATTTTGACCAATGAGAGTAAAGGATTTTAACATAAAGAAGCTGTAATATTTGCCGGTCCGCCATTGCCGAGTTCTGAAAGCTCGTTGGTGTGGTCTGTAATCCTGCTGACGGAATGGACTCCAAAGGCCATCCGACGCTGCAGGGTTATCAGCAGTCAGTTCAGAACACCGTGTAAGGGTACAGAATTTTAATTTACATCAAAAATGTGTTACTGGCCTAAAATCAGCCCCTATTTGTGGATCTATTTGTGACTGTCGAGAACATAGAAAAAAGAATGATTCTTTTTCCTTGAAACCTGCGCACCATGCAAAATGCCTCTTCTCTGCTCTTCGAATTTCACTTTTTACCAAGGGTATTATTTGTCGAAAAGTATTTATTACAATTAACTATGAGTTATAGAACAAAATGGTCGTAAATTCCAGACAAGTATCTCAGACGTTTCACAAAAATGCCGTCGCAAAGTTTGGGGTAAAATTGTCCACGTTCGCGGCAAATCTGTGACGGTCAGGCACGTGTGGCTTGGGTTGGGGATTTTCCATTGTACGGCGTATTGGGCGCGTAAGCGGCAATCAAGCATTAAGTTGCGTTGCATTCTTCTCATGCAGATCGGATAAGGGTTATTGCTGTTAAACTCAGATATTGTTTGAAGTTGAACCAGTCGTGTTCGCTGTGTATTTATTGAATACATTTTCCCCTGGAAATTATGTTATTATTGCACCTAAGTCTGGTGATATTGAAGGCTTAGGCCTAAACTAAAGCTAGGATTGCTCATCCTTAGTGGGGCACAATGATGGTGGCATATGATACTGACCATGTGTTTCCATGTCAACCTGCCCAGTAACTCCAGATTTCATGGCATCAGAGAGGCCTAATTCACATTAATGGTTGTGGCCAGGTAGGTAGGTCCTGAGCTAGCTGTACATAGGCCTACTGTTCACTGTCTCTCATGGGGCAGCGTGGACATCCGGGACTCTCGCAAAATGGCACGTAGTAACCGATGAAAACAGCTACTATGGCAACGTACGCATGGCACCGGCCAATCAGAGGATCAGATTAGGCCTACACAGTCATTTCTTTGATCAGTACGTATGCAGCATTCCTTGCAGTTGTTTTCATTGGTAGCTACCAACCATTTTGTGAAACTCCCGGATGTGCATGCCATCCCATTGGGGGTGTTTCTTGTGCTCAGCCTTCAGGAATAATGTCATCCCCATCTCCTCCCCCAGGTCTCATCCAGTGACATGCGCATCGCATAAGGCTTGTGTGATTTTGGACAAGCACTTTGCGAAATGGACGGTAAAACATGACATGTACACGTATACATATATGATGTAGATTTTTGCAAAATCAACAACCAAAATAACGGGTTGTGTTTTTTTTGGTAAACATTTTTATATAGGCCTACTTGTGGCTTAACTGTATTTTCTGTTCAGAACAGAGGCAGAAAACTTCCCAACTGTCCAAACTGACCAGCTGGCCAGCCATGTGCCCTGGCTGAGTTTTTGCGTGCGTGTACTTTGTGCAGACACAGGCTACATATACTTGTACATGCGTACTACACACGCGTATTATGATCATGCTTATATGATGGCCAACCCACCTCATGCCTGTAACTGTGTTGTGTGTTTGGCACAGCAAGGCGGATACAAGCGTACGGTACTTTATCAAACAGCCCAATATATCGCTGTTTGCTGGTCTAGGAACCAGACTACTGGTTCCATAACACCGTATGTATGCTGCTGCTGTACGGTACTTACGGATCACAACATTCAGGTACCATCAAACTGCATCTAGAGGACAGGCTATTCTGGAAATTCGACTTGAAACCCTGTTTCTCCCCTGCCCCAAAAAATCAAATATTATTTGCAGCAGATATTTGAGGAAGCATGCAAGTAGCCCAAAATTTGTACAAAGTGCAGTGAATTTTTTTGGGGGGGAGGGGGGCTGAGCCTTGAAGGGGTTTAGATAACTGTGTGAAAATTGAATGTACCGTTCTTGTGCAGTGCCCATTTTTCCGAGACAAGCCAAAAAATGTATATTTATGCTCAGTTCACATGGGCTGGCACCCATATAGCCTTGAACTTCAAATGACCCCAACAACCAAACATTATGTTTGATTGGTTTGGGTGATAAGGAGTGTCTTTACATTTATGCCAAGTTTCAAAAAAAATTGATAGTGGTACAGCGGAGTTTGAGGGGGCTGTGACACAGGCCAAAATCACCCAGCTCGTTAAGGGTTAAGTGGGGGAAAAAACTGTAGTTTAAACAAGTGCTGTTCTGCTGCTAAGATAATGGATACCCTCTGAATCTTAGGTCCTAGAACCACATCTGCAGCAGCTTGTGAAACCACAGAAGCTGTTTATGTTTGGAAGTACTGTTTCAAATGCAACAGCTTACAAGTACATGTATGATTGATTAACGGAATAGGTTGTATTGTGGTTGCTTGGCAATGTGCTGTGTGATATGTATTGGTAATGTTTTCTGGGGGAGGGGAAGGGGGAGGAATCTTGCAACTGAATAGATTGACGCTGTGCACTGTATTGTGTTATTTTGATTAGTGACAATTACGATAAGCCAGGTACACTGTACATGAAATATGCATAGCACAATGACAAGCACAAGGAAGCAGGTGCAATGTTGATTACACTTTACACATGACAATAAATTTGACCTCTCACAAATGACAGACTACGTTGTTTGAACAATCTGTGTGCCAAATTTCACCCATTGGATTTTTTTTAGTATGTATGTTGTCTCAGACGTGTTTGAAGTTCTCACAGAGAAGGAAAAGCTATCGCATGTAAATTTGTAAAACTATGTTGACTTACAGACATGATAAAAGAGCCATGTTGCCCTCTGACAACAGAACCCTGCTGCTTTCTCTAAGTCTGTATTAACTTCTGAGTCACAGATTTGTGATGATCCAGCCGTGTCGATATTAAAGAGTCTTAGTAAGTTTGTGCTTGCTGGTATTTTGTATGAACTAGCAGCTTTCACATTGATACACTCGTGGGTGTACGTGCCAATTCCTAATGTCTCATGAAATGAATTAATTTTGTGTCCTGTAGTTGACTGTGGTTATTGTTTGAATTGCCCTGTGCAGTCTGTCCTCTTCCAGTTTTTCATTGATAAAATTTATTTCCAAATGTGATGATACCCTACCGTTCTAGTGCTCCATTATTCTACATGACTGGATTGTTGGAAGATGTGATGGGTGAAGTTCAAGTGGGTTAATTCACTCCAAGTTCCATTTTTGTGGGTTATGAATGGCCAGCGCTCTGGTCATTCTCACTTGTGCTTCTTAGCATTCACCACTTGACATGGAGTTCCGATTTGCAAGTTCCCTGACAGTCCCAATTCCTCTGAATAGGATTTTATGTACATCCTAGGAGGTTAGGGTTTTTAAAAATATAAAAATTGTGCAGTCAATTTTACTGCAAATTGGTGTACAGTTAAATATGATTAACACGAGCATGCTTGAGACAGGATTGCGCTTACTATGAGCATATTTCTTCAGTCCCGTTCAAACTGTACACATTCCTATGAGAGAAAAGTTACTTAATACGAGCTGTGCTAAGACAAGGACACGGACAAGACAAGCACTTTGCCAAACCGGCAGTGTCAAAAACCATTGTCCATAGCATTGTTACGAGTTCAATTGAAAATGCCACTTCAAAAGCTACATATAAATCCCAATGGAGCGTGTCAGTAGTTCTCCAATAATGCAAATCCGCTCAGCAATTTGTTCTGCCGTTTTCCACTGATGACTTGTCGACTCTGTACCTTGTGCCGCTAGAGGGGGCTTTATTCAAGATGACAGTGGGTGTTGCGATGTTGCAGCATCAAAGGAGTTTCTATCATAGTGGGTCTAGTCCAATGGGTAAACCTGACTCAGAAATAATGGGATGGAAGTTTTGATGCCAAGGAAAACAAATGCACAAATGATCTTGCCGTGTTTCACAAAGAAAATGTAAATAGGTTTAGGAAATTAAACCCTTCTAAATTTTTCCCCTTTAGTTAACTGATGTCCCAAATTCCCCTTTCAAAGTAAACTCGCACAACCCTGTTGCACATTAAAAATGAAAGTTACTGTTCCATAAATTAAAAGAACGTTTCTACAAAATAGATCCTCTCCCGCCAATTAAGAACCAACAGAAATTCCCCAATTTCACTGCCCTCATACGTCCAGTCCTTACACACATGAACTGCTTCTCAAGCTTAAAACGCCTTACGTGCAACATCGGGTACCAGTTTCCAGGTAGTGCTTCGGCATGGCGCGGCCGGCCATTTACCCCATTGTTTTCTGCTGTTGCATCAATCAAGTAGGCGTATCTGAAATCGTTGTTTTATTCATTTCATTTTTCATTCATATTCATCATATTGATAAATACTGTTTGAAATTTGTTAAGTTAAATATACACGTGTACATTGAATACTAATCCACTGTATATACTGTACCGTACATTACATGTACAGTACATTGCCGTAGTGTATAACAATGCTTGCTGGTGCATGTCGCTTGGCTTGTGCTCTATAAATGGGATAAGTGTCAACCCGTTTACTATGAGGGTCACTGTAAGGCAAGGTATTTTGGAGAGTCCCTTTGAGCTTGTATTTAATGTGTTTGACTGTACTAGGTTCTTGTTTACTAGTAAATGGAAAGTGTGCCACTACATGAAAATGTAGGCCTCCCGAATACATAAATTGCCAGCCTCACTGAATATTGACTTTTCCTTTGTTTAGTTGCAGAAATTCTTGGCATAGAAGGAAGAATCTGTAAAATTGAAAGAGTTAAACGTCCATTTTTTCAGGATATGCATTCTGAAAAGTTTTTCCAGGAAAAGCATATTTATAGTGTCGTTTGCCACTGGCATTTATTGCTCTTTGTCGTAGCCATGCGCTCAGCATTCAATCACAGACATAGAAGGAAACCTGCATGTGTCGGTAAATTTTCTGTGAAAAAAGGAAAAGGCAAACATTTTTATAACGGGCTGACCTGGAAAATTGGCATCAGCAACCTGTTATTTTTGGATGTCACAGTCTGCATCACAGCACTTGCTGGTACAACATGGTGCATACCTATTACTGTTAGCATGGGGCTTTTGTTGAGACACGCAGCCACAAAGCCGTTTAGTTTTGTTGACAAAAGTAGTTGCAGTTGTTTACCCCTTCGCGCCGGAACGCGGGTAGAAACGCTGTAAAAATTGAGATCCTCAGCCCACTTTTCAGCTATTGTTCTCGGCTCACGCTCGAGCGAACATGGTGAAAGAAGGCAGACCCTGACTCTTGTATATATGGTAATTGGCCTTTGTGTGTAGCCTAGAAATAAAAAGACCGAATTTGCATCATAATCACCAGCTTCACAATAGTCCCCACTTTGAAAAGAGGCAACGGGAATTTGGAAGCTTGAGTAGAGCCGCTTGCCACCGAACAATCAGCCTTTTCACCGTGTAATTCAAAAAGTGCAGAGCACGCAGGGCCACAAACCGAGAATTTGCGGTTTGGCAGGTGGCCTTCGTGGCCATGTGAGGCTGGAATTCTTGGAGTCGGCTTTCGGAAAGAAATTCCGGCGTCAAGGGGTTAAAGTGCTTTACTTTTGCTTGGCCATTTTGTTTTTTGACACCCGTAGACGGGAAAGATACTTTCATTTGAACTAGCGGAAGAAGACCTTTTTTCTCATCTCTTGTTGACAAGAATTATCCAAGTTCTCTAAAACTTGGTATTTTTGTTTCTTCCTGCCTTGTTGAAAGTACATGCACATTCACTTAACCGCAGGGCTCGAATTCAACGGGTGCAGGTAGCTAAAATGCACCCATTTGTCTCAGAAATGCGCCCGTAAATCATAATCTGGGCACAAATACTTACGCCCGTTTGATTCCATGTACCTGAACATTTTTACTGTTTGTGTCTACTTTTGTCATGACAAATACCTGAACTTTTGGACTTCACTTTGGATCAGCCTTGTCACAGAACCATAACACGGTACTATTTTGTTTACAATGTCACCAAGCGCACGCCGCAGTCTTGCATGTGATGCATGCACACACATGAATGTACACACCCACGCTTACCTGCGGCCAGTGTCATGATTGTATGGAAACTAGCCCCTCATGCATAAATTCAAGCCAAACGAGTGGATTCAGCTTAGTCTTTATTTTCGCTGATTCCAGTCATAGCTTGAACATGCGGTTTTGAACCATGCTCCAAAATAGCTGGAACCAGCGAAACCAAAGTCTCAGCCTTATCCAGTCATTTCAAAAATGCTTGATTTGCTGCAGTTAGTTCCCTTTTAAGTCTGTGTGCATATGCACGTTGTAAAGGCCCGGTGCCCGACTTTTTGCGTAGCATCGCCAAGCACATGTTTGAGGTTCTGGTTGGTTGCTTACTCACTACTAGTTGTACGTCGTGAGCAATCCGCAAAAGCAATAGCAAGGACCAGGGTCTTTGCTTTTTTTTTCCATGAACATATGTCTTTGATATTGTATGGCAGCTACTTGCTACCGTAAAGTGACAAATTCAGCTGTCTAGGGAGCAAGTACTTGTTCCCGTGATGGTTTGCCCAATTCGGAGCCCTGTAACCCCTTCCCTAACTATCCAGCCTTCATGCTCAATTCAGTGGCATCCAACCGCTATGAAAGTGTGAAGCCTGCTGAACCCAACAACATCCAGTGGCTTGAACAGAAGGCCTTTTTTTCCACTGGTCACATCAACCAAACTTCGCAGCAAGAGCCTACTGTTGGATATTGTAGGTTTCAGCATGGTTGGGGTTAATGTTTTCCCCCCCAAAAAACTCTTCCAAGAATAAATGGTTGCAACCTACATGTAACTGTTCTATTCTATACTCGAAGATGCTACTGGCTACAGGCCACAGAATGTTTTTTATCAGCCATTAGGAACTCTGCATTGTGAACATGGCCAGATGCGTACATTTGTATTCATGTGTGCAGTGTCAGATGGCAGTGTCAACAACAATTTGAAGTATTGCCATTCTGTGCATTGCCGCCTTGTGCAGCATGTGATATGAATATTTGGAACATGGTGAAATGCCACGGCATTTTCAGTCTGACCGCCAGTTTGGCAGGCAGCATTCATTTCTGCACAGTGTATGATGTTGATGAAATTGGCCCTTTGGGCATGAGCGAAACGTGGTAAAATGTGTTTCTGCATTCTTACATGCTTCACTGACATGCTAAACACTGCTACAATTTTTATCAATGTTTTCCTCCCATGCGCTTAATATAAAACACATCTTCAAGCAAACTGTAAGTACAGAGAAAGGCATTAAAAGTGCCATGCAGTATGGGCTAGTTTTGACACTTGTTGCTGCAAAATTGACCTTGTTTGCTTGAAGATAAGCCTATAAAAATGTTTTCCTTTGTATCTCAATATCCAGATTGCCTTGCAACGTATAAAGCACCGGAGACCATACAATATTACCCCTACTTTCTCAGGCAAGGTAAAGCCCCAGTACACTATTGGTGATTTTTTGTAACAGTTTTTGTGCACTCCGGGAACTGGCTGAAAATTCTCAGATAATGAAGTAAAGACATGGGGCAGAAAATGTGTCAAGTATGGATTTATCTGGTCAAGTAAACTATTTACCAAAGTATTTCCTCAGCATCCTTCATTGGGTGAGCTTAATATCACCTAAACAAATATCCCATTTTGACAAAAAAGCCAAAAGCCCTTAAAGTAGGTTCATATTAATATTGCCAAACAAATGAAAACCCAGTAAATCTGTGTACTGTTAAAATTCCATTAGATTTGTTCTGAACTGAATGTTAACAGAATATTCAGGAAGGTATAATATGAACACAGCGTCATCATAAACCACATTGTTCCATCCACACTAGCAAATGGACATTTTGAGAACTGATATTCTACAGCGTAGTCCATAACAAATCTTGACAAACAGTCAAAACGGTATTCAGCCAGCGTGTTCATATCCACAGTCAGCCTACACTCGGCAAACCTCACCTTATGAAACATTACCAAAAGTGTACAAGGGCTTTAAATTTGAAACTTATGCTTTGTTTTGCATATCACTTGGACTTCATTCCCTGTCAAAATGTCGTGGCAGTTTCTGTGTTCTACTTGAGCTGCATGGGGTTTTCCAATGAGTAGATTTTCATACCACCCCAACGAACTGGATACATTCCATGCTGTAAAGTTACGTTCACATGACGTATTTACTCTGCTGACATAATTCAATGCATATGCTTCAGGAATTTTTTGATACTTAAGCATCAGACTCCAGCAGGAAAAAAAAACCCAGAAAAATGGTTTAAAGATACGTAGACAATTGTTTCAGTGAAATGATTTAAGAAGTTCCGATATGTTTGGGATAAACTGTTACAAGTGAAACACATTTCCTTGTGCACAGGGCCATTTAAGATGAAATGAAGTTAAGTTTGTTTTCCTGTGTGGAATTGCACAGACAACCTTTGAAAACTACTCCAACACTGATAAGTGAAGAACCATTCCAGCAAAGTTTGCAGATTTCCTGTTTTACAAAATTACTTTTCACAAGAACTCAATATTTAGAGTACTTATGTGCTTTTTCCTTACAAAGTTGGTGTGCATTTGTTCACATGGGCTGTGTTTCTCTTTACAGGACAGCATTTCACCCGACTCCAGTGAATGTCCCTGAGCAAAGCGGGCACCCTAGTCTCGACGAAGACACGACTCAGACTACGACAAGCGTATCTCAACAGCCGGCCCAGCACAACCAGAGCTTGACTGCCATGAAAGCTGACATGGTCAGAATTGGTTTACATATCTAATGCATGTATTAGCCTCTCTTACACTACGCCAGCCCTGAAAGGTAGCCAAGGAAGTGGACCCAATCAACCTCTGTGCTGATGACGCCATACTTTGTTTATGTGTGTGCTTTTTTTTAATGGCGTTCAGTAGATCACGGGCCCCACTGGCTCCGTAGAAAAGTGCACATGTAAACAAAAGTGAAGTCATCAGTAGGTAGGCCTATTTCATCAAGTTTCTAAACAAATTGGTCTCCGACAAATTCATAGGCAGTGCAGAGTTAGGTGGACAGTCAGTTGCAGCAAAATGCATCACACCATGTTGCGCAGTAGCTATGCTTGCCAAGCACCTTTTCTCTGACTGTTCCAAATTTGTCATTATCTCGAATGATGGGAACTAACCAAGACAGCAGCAGAGGGATGCTGTGTAGTAGAATAAATCTTACCTTTTGCTTTAAGATACTTCCTCACAGTTACAAACTCATAGTTGCCGGGTCTGTTATTCACTGAGTTATTGTAACTACAGTGTTGTACAATCAATATAACATTCCGCCGTATGTCTCCACAGCCCCAGGCAAACCAGACTGACTCCGCCTCCCAGGTACAGCAGCTGAAGCGGCCAGCCGGCAGGATGACCAACCAGCTCCAGTACCTGCAGAAGACAGTCATGAAGGCACTCTGGAAGCACCAGTTTGCCTGGCCGTTCCACGCACCAGTCGATCCAGAGAAGCTCAGCCTACCGGTAATATTGCCCATTTGGGTTGTTGCTTCTAAAGTGTTTGGGTCTGAAAAGAGGAGTTGGAAACTTGCCTGCTGTTCAGTCAGTTTGGTTCACACCATAGCGTTAGTTATGTGGTTGAACATTGCTCGCTGAACGAGACCTTCCAAACATCTACCCTGTTTATGTCGCAGCCCTGAGCCTCATTACCTGCCGCATCATGTTGTCTCTGCCTTGTACTCCAACAAAAGCCAGGATGACAGTAGAAATTCTGTAATGGGCCAATGATTGCCCCCTACTATCAATCCACTCTGCCTGTCAACGTCTTGCATTTAGGATTCTTTGCTTATCAGTCGCATCCTTCAAGGCACTCTGTATTCAGAGCAGTGACGTGCCTTGTTCACTGGAAATTGCTTACGCTCGCAACATAAGCTGGACGTGAAAGTCTGGAGCTGAAATTTTTCACGTTTGTATTATGTAGGGATAAGGCTGATACGCCTATGCTGCCTTCCAGACTGGTCCATTTGGTGTCTTGGCTTACAAGGTACCACTTCTAAAGGCACACCTGGCTGACTGCAGAATTATTTGCAAGAGAAGCAAGGTGCATGATAATTATCCCCAAACTCTCCCCCCCCCTGGCAGGATTACTTCAAGATCATCAAGCATCCGATGGACCTGGGTACCATCAAGAAGAAGCTGGAAAGCAATAGCTACTACAGTGCCAAGGACTGCATCTCAGACTTCAATCTTATGTTCACTAACTGCTATGTCTACAACAAACCCGGAGAGGTAAGCCCTCAACAGGGAGTGTTCTTTCCCTGCATCTTGGAACCCGTAGGCAACATACTGTAACTTGCTGGAGCCGTGCGGGAAATCTCAGTTGTTTGGGGCTGAATATCCTTCTGTATCATTCTGTACGTGGAATTTGGCAGTGCTGGTTGTATTAGTGCTGCTATCAACACCCTGTGAGCCCCATTTGTGAACGACCCAAAGATATCTCTTTTTTTCTGTAAAAAGGATTAGTCCTTTTTTGGCATTTTCACTGTGCGTGTGTGTTCTTTGCTGCATCTGCCATGGTTTTGGTACCAGTAATTTTACAAAGCTGTAATATATTTGCCTTGGCATTGGATCCACAACATCAGGGCATCAAATGCGTTGCATTTAAATATGATTCTCATGTGCAATCTGTGACTTGTTCTATCGCTCAAGTAAATCCAGACTGATGCTTTTCTGTGATGATGTTTTACCTTACCTACTCTGCCATTACAAGATGATGTAACGTCCAGATCTGAGAAAAGCACCCAATCCCCACTTTAGTTGCCATTTCGTTCTTTGCATGGATCTGATGATGCTCTGACCCGTTGCTTGTCAGCTCCAACCTAACTTGCACCGGTTTTAAAATAAGCACAAAATTCTGCACAAGAGCCTTAGTAAATTTATTTTGCGGTAAAATACGTCTTCATCATGCGTATAATGGGAATGCAAGCAAAGCTACAAATCTTGAGCCATTAAATTAAGTGAGCAAGGTTGCAGTATACTGCATGAAAATGGCACTATGTCGCAGTGTTTTGGTGGAAGGGTTTTCAGTATTGTAATAGTTACTTCATTGTTTCTGTGGTAACAGGATGTTGTACTGATGGGCCAAGCCTTGGAGAAACTCTTCCTTACCAAAGTGGCGCAGATGCCTCAGGAGGAGGTGGAGTTGCCACCCCCATCAAAAGTGGGAGCTGGAGACGACCCCTTGACGGGGGGCAAGAAAGGCAAACGGGGACGCGGCAGGGGCGCACCCCAAAGTGAGCGTGGCCTCTGATTTTGAGTTGCGAAAGTATTTAAAAGGGTTGGGGGGGGTGAATGAGCACGTTGGAAATCTGCTGTGACAAATGAGATTATTGCCTGTGACTGAGGCATGCGGCATGTTCTTAGGAATACTTTCCAGAAGTAATGAAGTAATGGCATTGGTAAGTGCTTGTGTTGGCACTGTGCTGTAACAAAGGAGGGCACTTGGAGAGCCCAAGACAGTGCCTGGAAGACTCTGATGATCCATAGGTATATCTCTGTTCTTGGTTCATCTGCCTCAGCCGTATACATGAGGTTAGATGGCGTTTGGGGACTTTCCAATTATGGCACTGTATCTCAATTTCACTAGCGAATGTGCATATAATCCAGTAGCTAACTTTTTTACAGCATTGATGGCTCGATACCCTGGTTGTCTTAGGTGCAAATGACGTGCCATACAGTTACCACCAAATTTTGGACACAAGGGATTAAACAGTGTCTGGAAAATGACATTAAAGGAATTCAGAATTTTCAGGTTCCCAATTAGAAGAGGTACCAAACAGATCAATTTACTCACCCGTGTTCTGAATCGCTTCCTTTGCAGGAGCCGCTGCCGCCACCGCAGCGGCGGCAGTCACCCCTTCTGCCCATCTTGCCGAGAACAACCACACCTCACCCTCCACAAGGCCAGCGGCCCCTACCTCAAGACCAACCCCAAACACCCGGCCCACGCCCCCCACCACGAGGCCCACCCCTGCCAGGCCGGGGCCACCCAGCATCCCCACCCAGCAGCAAGCAGCTCCCATAGAACCTGTATTGCCACCCCCTCCTGTCCATCCCGGCGGCAAAGGACAGATGTCCTCTCCACCTCAAGGAGTATCAAAAGTAAGTGGCTAGTGTGCAGTGGAACTGCATTAGGGTGTTTTTGCCACCGCCGTGATACAGTGTTGTAGGTTAATTTCAATTTTGCTCAGGGAAGTTTGATACAAAGTGCCTTTTAAGTTCAGTCGGTGATTATTTTGTCAGAAGTTCAGACCTCATGGGCATGGGCCTTAGTCCCTTCCAAGGACCATTATAGAAACCCTTTTCACATGAGGCGAAAGGAACACTTGTCTGTGGCGAAGTGACTACTGCAGCTTTCTCATGTTGCTGGTTGATTCGGCTGTGGACCGGACAAGGGTCTGGGGTCAGAGTTATACAGGGCATAGCAGATGTGACTCCAGTCTTTCCAGCATGGGGATTCCGCAGCTTTTGATTCATAATTTGTTAGGTACAAATTGAATTTGAGTTTGTTAATTGTTACAAATATTCCATAGGGTGTACCCAAAAAGTTAAATATGATTCTCATAAGTGCTGAAAGTGCTATAAATAACAAACATAGTACACAATGCTAGGATGTTACTAGACTAGTTTGCAATGGAGGATAAAAATTTCAGCGACCAACCTGTTTCCTTGATGCAGCACTTGGTCTCAATGTTAGTCACTGTACTTCTTATATAAGTCAAGTTGTTTAACAATGTAGGTCAGGAAAGGAGTGAAGCGGAAAGCAGACACCACCACCCCCAGCACCACGCCGAGCGTCCCCAGCGCCCTGCATAATTCCTTCTCCCCGCTGGACATGGCGGCCGCCCCCAAGCCCAACAAGATTGCCACCCGGCGGGAGAGCGGCCGGCAGATCAAGCCACCCAAGCGGGAGCTGCCGGACGAGGAAGCCCAGCACCAGAAGGGCAAGAAGTCCAAACTCTCCGTCCAGCTGCGGCACTGCTATGGCATCCTCAAGGAAATGCTCTCCAAAAAACATGCAGTGAGTTTTTTTGGGGGGGGGGTTGTTTAAATCTATGTAATTCTCCGACTTTTTCAGAGATTCCCCAGAAATAGCCTGCTCAAACCAATGGGATTCAATGTTTATCGGATGAGTTCTCAGCTCAATCCAAAACAGACCTAACATGCTGAGCTGCCCTTGACTGTAACTTGCAAAATGACTTCCGTGCTCAATCCAACGGAATACAACTGTGCCTTGTTTCGCTGTTGCCTGCCGAGCCCAACAGAATGTAATACCCCATGCGAACACTGCATGTTTATTGGTTGCCTGCTGAATTCAACATTTCCCACTTTCTTTTGTGTCCCTGTCACATCTGACATGATCTTCTAAGTTCAAAACACATTTTGTAATTTCCACTTTTGATGAAGTAATGCAACTTACCTGCCAAACAACTAGAAATAGTTTGAAATCAATTTCGCTGAAATGTTCATGTCAAATTACTCAGTTCAGGTGTAACAGGGGACACAAAAATGTCAAACTTTTGGACCCCGAATTTATAAAATGACCCTCAACTGCTAACAGATTTCAATGGGAGCAAGGAGTTTCCACTAAACCAAACAGAATCCAACAGCAGGAGCAAATAGTTGGATCTTTTGTAATTAGCAGCATTTCTACTAAGTGTGGCAGGGCACACTGTATAACTTGATACGATTGGGGCTTGTGTTTGCCCAGTTCATTACACTGCACCACCAAATCCACCAGAGCACGCTGACGCATTTTGCCACATTCAGAATGCTTCTCATTTCCTTGGTGCTGCATTCTGTTGCACTGAGCAGAGTTCCTCAAGAGAACGTGATTGGGGTTAGGGGCTGATGTGTCATTGTGGCTTTTGTGACAAGAAGCAGGAGTGTCATTACATTGTCGTTTGACTGAATAGAGGAGAAGGCAGTTGACGTAGTGTACCTCTTGGGCATGGGCCTCTGGTCTCTGTAAGGGGATAATGAGAGTTGCCTTAAATCACAGGAGGTTATAGAAAGCCAAGTCTCTGGGTTAATTCCAACCTGTCTCCCCTTACATGGAGCAGGTTGTTTCATGGCAGAGATACATTCAGCTGGAGAGTGTGGTGTTTGACAAATTTGTTCCCCCCCCAAAAAAAAACACTCCAAAACATAGCTTGGCTCTCGGAAGAGTGATGCAAGGAAGTGTAAGAGAATGAACTGTTGATTGTATATCGTAGTGGTCAACATGTTTGAAATGTATGACTTCTCGTTTTAAAGAAGTCTCTGTTTGCCAGCCTGTATTTCTTTGTCTTTGAAGTACAACCAATCTGGAGATTGGTACTGCTGCGATGAAACTGCTTATGCAACCTATGTCAGTGACATATTGAACTCAAGAGAGAAATATTTGTAGAACTGAAGTTCTTATTGTTTGTGGCCGTTGCTGTAGATGTATGCCTGGCCATTCTTCAAACCTGTCGATGCTGACGTGCTGGGTTTACACGACTACCATGACATCATCAAGCACCCGATGGACCTTGGAACAATAAAGGTTAGTTTCTCGACGATGCGTCCGAGTGATCTGCCATGTATTCCATTTTCTGTTACTTTGTCAGGAATTACTGGTTGGATATGAAGCGATTACAATTTACACAGTCAGTTTAGCATTTTGACCATACAAATTTGGGGCAATAATAAAAGAATGGTGGCAGTTTCTTACTGGGAACAGATAAACTGTGTCTGTAGCAAGGTGCAGTGTCGCCTTTTTGCTAAGAGTGGAAGCGAAGGATATGTATTGTATATTCAAATGTTGAATGCCTCTTGCCATCAGGAAAAACTAGAAAACCGGGTTTACAAGAACGCCAACGAGTTTGCTGCCGACATGCGGATGATGTTCACAAATTGCTACAAATACAACCCCCCAGACCATGACGTTGTCAACATGGCAAGAAAACTGCAGGTTTGTGTTATATATTTGCTGGAAGGAACGATTCAAACTGGAAAAAAACATTGGATCTGATGTGTCTTGGCACTGTCAGATTTTTAGTTTGAGTATTGATTGAAATTTTACCTGCATGGGTGTAAGCACGAGTTCAGGAGCACATTTTAACAAGTCTTGTCAGTATGGCTCAGGACATGGCGATCATGAAACTCGGTACAATGGAATGGTCTTGCCTCGGGTGCATGATACCATAATAGTCGGAGTTTCCTGCCCGCAGGATGTGTTTGAAGTGCGGTTTGCTAAGATGCCTGACGAGCCGGTGACGGCAGATGAAGACAACGAAGACGAAGAGGGCAAAGACAGCGAGGCAAGCAGTCACGGCTCAACCTCGGGGTCGTCGTGTTCTGACGATGACAGCGAAGCTGAGAGGGAAAGTCAGTTATCAAAGCTGCAGGCACAGGTCAGTGTGATAACAATCTACTGATTGGTTAGAATGCAAACAGCTTTTTCCCCAGTAAAATGTGAGAAGTGGTCTGGTAGTTGTATTTCTGAAGTAATGTTGGGACGGCTTCTGAGAAATGTTGCAGAAACGCGATGACGAGTTGCTTGAATGTGTTTAGTGGGGGAGGCTCTTGGGTAACATGATGATAACCTTTGCGTGTCAAATGAGCCAAGAGTTCTAACCTAGTCTCGCAGCATGTGATCTGGAACAGTTGATTCAGTATGACTGCTGTGAAGGTAAGGATGGTAAGAGTTGGCTGTGACTTTTGAAGGTTTCTGATTTGTGGAAGGACAAAGTGCTCTTTAGACAAGGATCTTTTTTCGATGTACCCGTTCAGTAGATGACTTGAAATGACAGCTGCAAACTCACCGGCTGTAGAAAGTTTACTGATGTATACTCTAAAGGGCAGTACTCTCTTTTTCCATATCTTTTGACTCATAACCTTCCCAGACCCATCAAACCCAAGAATGGGTTCAGTAGAATTGTAGGATTGATAGAGCTAAACACTTTTTCAAGGTTCAAAGTTAAGATTGTGATGATGAAGATCTAGGAAGTTGCTTCAGAAGAAGAAATGTCTTCAAGGTATGAAAGAGGGGAAAAGGAATGTATAGTATTGATATTTTTCTGTCTGACTGATTGGAAAAAAAAATGTTGATGTCCGGGTGCCTGGCTGTAAGTTAGTGCTGGACTTCCTGGAAACCCTTATTCAAGTTGTACAAGGTTGGTGTTTGTTCCTCTTGCAGCTGAAATCAGTACATGAACAACTGACGGCGCTCTCCCAAGCCTCACAGAACCGGGCCAAGAGGAAGAAGGAGCACAAGAAGAAGCGGAGAAAGGACAAGGATGGGGAGAACCACCACGCCCCACCGGAGAAGGACAAGGACCACCATCGCAGCGGAGGAGGAGGAGTGGTGGAGCCTGTGGAGAAGGAAGGCAGCCGCGGAGAGAAGCCCGCCAAGGTTAAGGAGGAGGCCGAGCCCAAGGTCAAGGAGGAGGTGGAGACCAAGGCGGCCAAGCCCAAGAAACCTAGGGCCAAGACCAACAAGGCCAAGGCTGGAGGGGATAAGGCCACTAAGGCTTCCAAGACGAAGAAGAGCTCGAGCAGGTAGCATCACCAACTAATAACTCGCCCCCTCTCAAACACCATCAAGCACTGATGTTTATTGTCATAGAATTAGCTTCTCATTAACCCGTTTATAGTGCAAGAGACCATCTTGGTGACTTTTTTAGTGGCACTGGGCCACTGCAATGCTCAAAGATACATCATTTGTTTCTTAAATTAGAGAACTTCTGATTTCTTGTACGACAAAATAAGAGAAGTAATCAAGAAGCATTCTTTGTTTCCTCTGTTTTCCTTTTTCACACTGGTAGCTCCAAGAGGTCAAAGGCTGTCGTCCCTGCATACGACAGCGAAGACGAGGACATGGCCAAACCAATGTCCTACGACGAGAAGAGGCAGCTGAGCCTGGACATCAATAAATTACCAGGTTAGGACATAAGGAGGGGCGGGACTAGAAGGACTGAAGGGGGAGGGGGTTTGACAGTGAAGGAGGCATTACCTCGCCCGTGAAGTGTGAAAAGCTGTGGTTTCAGCGCAAGCAAAAAGCGTGTCCAAAATTATGTTAAGAGTGGGAGGATATAGGATTAAGTAAAAATATACAAGTCCTGCCTTTTGCACTACTTTTTTCTTTGCTAATCGCAGGTTGTTAATGAAAGGCAAAGACTAGTGGTTACTTTAAAGAACAGGAAACAGGTTTTGGAGGATTCAGGAATGTTTCTGGTCGAAACATTCATGGAATCAAGGCCAGCATGTAGCTAGTTTGAGTGGGCAGTGGACATACACCCCTTGAGATGGAATTAACCCTAACCCCCTAGGCTCCTGCACTAGAAAGCACACTGAACCTCAC